CCTGCCCTGTGGCATCTCAGAGTGGTGCTTGGTGGTGGTGATTCACCCTGCGAGGCCAATGCCCCGATATTTGCATTTAAATGTTCCACATCTCTATATTCCACAATATAGAGATGAACCATAAGATTTATGCTAACAATCCATTTATTTTACTCAGAATGACATTAAATAGCAAATAAAAACACCATGACGAGTAGAGGGAAAGAAAGGCAAAAGTTTTATATTTTAATACCTTTATGTTTCTGGCTTTTTGAACAAGTGGCCCTGCACTTTCATTCTGCACCGGGCCCTGCAGATGTTGTGGCCAGTCCTGCCCCAAGGACTTGCTTCAGTCCAAGGGGCTGTGGAGTGGAATGGAAAGTCAGCCTTACTCCAGCCCCCAGAAATGTCTTTCCCAAGAGCCTCACTGCCTCGTTTGGGGATGTGCACCCACAGGGCAACGGCACCCACAGTAGATGGCCCTCCAAGGCTCCACAGCTGAGAGTGAGACCTTGTATAGTCTGGTGCTTCCTTCCTGGAGCCAAGTTACAGAGGACCAAGACCTGGCAACCAGGGAGGGAGGGAGGCTGGGTCCGGAGGCCAACAGACTTCCCAGTCCCCAGACACAGAGCATGAGGTCACGAAGTTAGGAAGCCAGAGGCTGGGTTCCTGCTTTGTGCGCTCTTCTTGTCAGCAAGAGACTAAACACAAGAAACCTGGGGAGCAGGCACCAGTCTTGACAGGTGCTGCTCCTGGCTGCTTCGCTCCTTCCACCTTGCTTGGTCTCCCCCACACCCTGATCTTCTCAATAAGAAGTTTTCCAAGACCTGAATATCTAATAAACTCCTTGAGTCCCTTAAACACTGCTGCTTCAATAAATACCAAATACCTACTTGGTGCCCGGTGCTGGGACGGGCACAAGTCTCAGAGGTGGGGAGCGGGGTTCTGCCTTCGAGGAGCAACCTTGGCACCAGCAGGGTAGCCAAGACTCCTGTTCTCTGCCATTCATCCTCCTTATTGACTCAGGACCTATTCAAAACCCGCTATAGGAGAACTCAACCCATGGGGTCCTGTGAAACCCCTGAATACCAGCAGCCTCTTCTTGAACTTCTCCCTCCTGGGTCTCATGTGTGAACAGGCTGTGTCTGTCAAACTGTTTTTACTAAGTAATAAATTAACATCTTCCATTTCTTACTGATCAGAGTCATGCACCATCACCAGTCAGCACAGGAGACCGTGGGCGGCTGCCCTTCCCAGGAGCCTCAGTCCCCCGCAAAGAACAACGCGGGGTCAGGGACAGCCTGAGTTGGAGCAGTGGTGCATGGCACGCACTGGCTCTCACTGGCAACCCGGGGCAGAAGCCGCCAGTGCTACCGTGGTTACCATATCAGAGACTGAAGACCCGTGGGTCTAGTCCCAGCACGGACACTTCCATCAAATCACTGAACCTTCACAGACCTGGGTTTCATCATCTGAAGAACAGGATAATAGCTTCTAGGGCTATGACAAGGGTCAAGTATGAAAAGGTACCAGAAAAAGCCGACTAACTGCCTTGCTGTAGGAATGACCAGGATTATGACACATTTCCACATAGGCAAATGGAGCTGGTGACACTCCATCAAGTGCTGTGAGAATTAAATCAGATAATAGATTCAAACAGTTCCTGGTATTTTTCAAGGACTTGAAAAGATGAAGCTATTAGCCCTCACTGGGGTAGCTCAGTGGATTGAGTGCTGGCCTATGAAGAAAAAAGGTCACTGGTTTGATTCCCAGTCTGGGCACGTGCCTGGGTTGCAGGCCAGGTCCCCAGTTGATGTTTCCTTTATGCATCGATGTTTCTCTCCCTCTCTTTCTCTCTCCCTTCTCCTCTCTCCCAAAATTAAATAAATAAAAATATTTAAATAAAAGAAAACTTAAAAAGATGAGGCTATTACATTATGGTAACCACTATCATTGCTGCTACCATTAGTAGCGCTGTTATCCCAATCACTACTACCTCCTGCTACCTGGCCAAGGGACTCATGGGAAAGTAGCGAAGTCTCAGAGCACAGGTCTTCTTAGGGGGATTGTCGGCATCACCTCGCCTGGGATTGGGAGAACCAGGGTAGCTTCCTCATGAATTTCGTCCCTGGTTAATCCACAGTGGATTAATCCAAAGTGCCGAGACCAAAACTGAAATCCACCTACCTTAGCTCAAGGTTTTCTCCTTCAAGAAACAGATTCTGGAGAGTATTCAAACATCTGCTAACTATCAGGGGCAACTGGTGCCTCCCGAAAACCTCACACAACTTTCCAGGCAAGGATCCACCGGGGAAAATAGCCTCAGCTGTGCTGATGCTCTGTCCCTCCAGCTGAGCCATATTAGAGAACTCCCCCCGCAAAAAACCCCGAAAATTCAGAAATGCTCGTGGCAAACACAAGAAAGCAGACTGAAGCAAAGCATTTAAGTGGGAAAAAGGAAAATAATTACTCCCAAACCTTTAAGTTTTTGAGAAATTGTCACAGCCAAAGAACATATATATGAACAGCCCATGGACACAGACAATAGTGTGGTGAAGGCCAGGGGATTAGAGTGTGGGGGCTGGGTGGAGGTGGGCAAAGTTGGGGGAAATGAGGGGCCTCTGTAATAGTGTCAACAATGAAAAAACACAAAATTTGCCACAGAAGGAGGTAAAAAAGACAGTCCGCTGCCACAGGGTCCCAGGGGGACTGTCTCACACACACTACACGTTGCTTTCCTCTCTGCCTGGAAGGACTCAGCTGAGGCCCTGTAGGAGGGAACCAGGGTTTGCTGAAGGGTAATCATGGGGGACCTCACAGAGCTGCCACAGAAGAGTCAAAAAAAAGAGACAAAGGGCAGAAGGCTGTGACAACGACCTAAGATCCTACAAACCCCTCAGATCCCTCAGCTCAAGGTTTTGCCTAGAACTGCATGGAAAAGACAGAAACCTTACACAGGAGAGGTGGGCACCTCTCCCCTCACCAAACCTGTCAAGCTCTCTGCGTGGGCGCAGGCATGTGCAGCCCTTCCTGCTGTCAGTGGGAAGTGCCCTGCTCCTGAGACCAATGAGACTTCCGCCCTGGGTCCCTTCCCTCTCCCCTCTCAGAAGCGCTGCGCCAGCAACTGTCCCTTCTCCTCCTGCATCTTCTCCTGCATCGCCCACTTCTCCCTCCCTACTGGATCATTTCCATCAGAACAAAGCCTACATTCCTCCCCCAAACCCACATCCTCCCCAGTTCTCCGCTAATTTCTCAACCTGCTTTGTAACAAACCTGCCTGAAAGAGTCACCCCAAATTGCCGACCCCATTTCTTCACTCCACATTGTCGTTCACCTACTGTACCAGGTTTTGCCTGTTAGGCTTCCGGAAGCCCTCATTCTCCAAGGTTTCCTCCGACCTCAGTCTCCTTTGCTGGATCCAACGCTTTTCCCAACCTGTAAATGCTGCTATGTCCCAAGGCGTGGAGCATCTTCTTCCTGTCTACACCCTCCTCCTGGGTGACTTCATCTAATCCTGTTGCCTTGAACAACACTTATAATACCCAAGTGCTCTCCTGTCTTCTCCCTCCCTCAGCCTCAGATGCATGCATCTGACTAGCTGACAAGTTCACATCTCAAGTGTAACAGGGCAAGACAAGTTCTCCCACACATCCCCACCCCAACCTGTGTCTCCCCAGCCCTCCCATCTCGGTGACATGAGCACCACCCGGCCAGGGGCTCAAGCCTCTAGGAGTCACCTTGTCCCCTCTCTTTCTCTCACAGACTGCATACAAACCATGGAGCCTGAACCTGACCACTCCTCTCCACCTCCAGGGCTACACCTTCAGTCAGGCTTTCAGTAACTCCTGCTGGATTACAGCAAGGGCCACCTGCCCGCTACAGCTGCCCGCCCCCAATCCACTCTATACCAGGTACAGCAATCTTTCTTAAAATGCAAGTCAAACCGTCCCTCACTGCTACAAGTCCTCGGATGACATCTCACTGGACTTAGGATGAAGTGTAAAAACTTCTAACCTTGGCTCACAAAGTCTTACACCATTTAGCTCTCCCCTACCTATAAGGGCTTCTCATGCCACTTTCTCCCTTGTCCACCACATTCCAGCCACACTGGCCTTTTTGCTCCTTGAACTGGATGCTCCTTCTTGCCTTAATGCCCTTGCACTGGCTGTTCCCTCTTCCAAAAGGAAAGCTTGTCCACCTCCTCAACACAAGGACAGATCTTTGTCATTCATATTTCACCTTAAAGGTTACCTGTTCAGAAACACCACCACTAATCTCCCATCCGACCAAGCCACTCAGTTATATAATATCACTTTATTTTATCTTTCTGCATAGTAGTTACCACTCACTATCTGATGTTATTGTTTACTTACTTATTCTCTGCTCCCTCCCATCCCGGGGGAGACTGTAAGCTCCGTGAGCCCCGGGACCTTGTGCACCTCATTCATTTCTGTAGCCCCAATGACTAGATCAATGTGTGCTACAGTGGAACTATCTAATAAATGTCAGTGGATGCAGAGAGGGTTAGGAGCGAGAGAGGGTCATGCCAACTGCACACACATACACAACCACAGTCCTAGTGCTCACATCTATAAACCTCATCAATCAGGATTTTCTTTTAAATTGATATGAGAAAGAGAGAAAGGGAGAGGGGGAGAAAGAAAAAGAGAGACAAAGGGAAACACTGATTTGTTGTTCCACTTAGTTATGCATTCATTGGTTGACTCTTGTATGTGCCCTCACCTGGATAGCTAGCAGGAGGGATCCAACTTGAAATCTTGGCCTGTCAGGACCAGGCTCCGACCAACTTAGCTATCCCACCGGGGCTCATCCATCAGGACTTCGACCGACCATCCTGAAAGAGCCCAAACCCAGGAGGGAGGCTCTGGGACTTTATGGGACGGTTTGAGCTTCAAACATGCTGCTCTACTGCCCACTAGCAGTGTTTTCAAGTCGATGAAAAAAGAACTTCTGACTCTCTGTCCCCAAAACTCCATTTAATATTAGCCAGACGACAGATCTGAAGCTAGCTCATTCATTCAGTGAACAAACATTTACCGAGTGCCTACGCTGTGCCAGGCACTGGGACAGAGGATCAAAAGCCGTTTCTGGCCGCATGGAGCTCACCGGAGAGCAAGCAGAGGGAGAAACATTCAACCCAGGTATAACCAGAGTGGGAAAGGAAAGACTATACTACAGTTAGCGTCTGAACGGCGCCTCGATTTCATTTCTACAGACCCAGGTCTGACATAACTTGGCTTGAGAGGCAAGGCTCCTAGGCTTTTGCAGAAAAGCCACTGCTTTACTAAGCGGAGGCAGGAGCGTGATCGTCCCAGTTGAGTACAGGCTACAGAGACTCGTAGCGTTCGAGTAATATTATTGGCTAATCTGTTCTCCTCCCCACCCCCATTTCTCCCCCAGCAGGCCCTCGCAGTGGAGGGGCGGGGTGAGGTGCGGTTCGACTCTCCACTACCGTCTCGGAGAACACAGCCGAAGAGAAAGGCCACCCGGAACGGAATTTCCTCCGTCTCTTTTGTCCCGTTCTCACCCTCCCCACCCCCGGTTCCCCAAACCTGGACACAACTCTTAGTCTACTCCCCCCACCCCAGCTCATCCCGATCCCAGCTCTGCGTAGCCGGAGACCCCGAAGGGGAGGCGTGTCTGACCCCTCTCAACAGCGCCCGAACGCTAGGGCCGGGTCCAGGACGCGGTTTGAAGGCCCCAGCCCCCGCAGCGGGCGGGCCCCGGACCCCCGCCCGCGTCCCTCAGCGGAGACGAGGACCCCCACCCCGGACTCCCTGCGGGCTGCCTCACAACTCGGGCAAACAAAACGGCGCACGTCTGCGGCCCCGGCGCAGTGCGCGCCAACTCGCCCAGGACCCCTGCGGGAGGAGGGGGCGCATTTGCGCGGCGGGAACCCGGCGGGACCCCGCAGCACAGGTGCGAGGGCGGCGGCGCCCCGGCCACTCACTCGATGAAGTAGCTGGCGCCCTCCTCCGTGAAGCCCTCTTCCCAGCCGCGGGGCAGGTCTGCGGGAACCGGAGAAAAGTTAAGGTCAAACTTGGCCTCCCAGAGGCGCCCCGCCCGGGCACCCCACCCCGTCACCCAGCGCCCACCTGAGCGGATCATGTGGCCGGAGTTGACGGGCTCTCCGGTGCGCGGGTGCAGCCAGGTCGTGCAGCGGAGCTGGTCACTGCGGAGAGAGGTGCACCTGTTAGCGCCGCCGCCACCCCGGGGGCCCCGCCCGGCCCCGCGCACCGCCGGGCCCCTCGCCCCGCCCGCGGCCCCGAGTTCCCGCGCCGCACTTGATGAAGAAGACGCGGCCATCGCGACACACGCCGTAAGACCAGTGCTCAGGTAAAGTGTCCCGCCCGATCCCCGCCGCCGCCATGTTCGTCGAGCCCGGAGCGGCCGCGGGCGCCGCCGGGCGGGGGGGAGGGAGCGGGGGCGGGGGAGGGGGCGGTGCAGGCGGTGGTGCGGCGGGCTTGACCTCAGCGGGCTCCGGCGGCTCCCCGCGGCGCTCCATCGCTCGCTGTGCGAGCTTCTTCGGGTGCGAGCGTGCGACCGCGTCCCGGCGTCCGCAGGAGTTCACCGCCGCACCAGCCTCCTTGAGCGCGGTGGCCGCGGCCTTTGTCCCCGGGACTTCCCCGCCCCCAGCCCGCCGCGCGCCCCTTGGCCCCTGAAGCCCGGAGACTCGGGCGGGGCCAGGGCCTCGGTCGGGGCTCCGGGGGCAAACTCCGGAAAAAGGGTGCACCCCCGAATGCCCCAGTAAACCCCGCCCGATCCCTGCAACAGAACTTTTCTCTCCGGGAACTGTACATATTTTTGATCCATGTAAACCTAAACAGGTTGCTTCCTTTGTAAAATAAAGTTAATAATAAATATTACACGGGGCTGTTGTGTAGATTGAATGAAGTAACAATGGAACAAAGTGCCTAACTGGACCCTGGCACATACTAGCTCCTCTCTTAATGCCAGGTCAAGCATGATTACATTTTACTCAAGTTTGCAGCTGAAATACGAAGCAGGAGGGTGCAGGTCCTCTCCCCCACACGCCACACATACAGCCCTAAAGTTGCAGGGATCACAGGCTCTGCTTTCAATTCTCGTCAAGTGACAGAGATGCTTAGGACTGGGCTGTATCTCAACCAGATCCTCCAGGTGGGACCTCTAGTGGGGGCTCTGGAAGGTTCTTTTCATGGCTGGAGGATTCTCATATTCAGGTCTCTGCTCTCATCTCAGCTCCTGGGGGATCCCTCCCCTGTCGCCTTGGACCAAAGGGGACTCTTCCCCTCCTCCCTTCACTATTCCATTTCTGTGTACACTTAATTGAGGTTCTTATTTGTGCGTTTATTACCTTTGTTGTATGTTAGACCCCCGCCCTCACTGAAATGTCAGCTGAATGAGAGGAGGGGCCTTGGTATGTCACAGGCCTGAAACGTTGTCTGACTGGAGTTCGAAGTCAAGCGCTGAATGAGTGCATGAAACACTCCACGCTGACACCCCTGCACTCTGAGCACGGACAGAGGGCAAGCTGGGCCCTGGGAGATACCAGGCCCCGCCTCCGAGGGATATAGGCTACAGCTGATGGGATGAGGCCCACATTGAAGTGCACTACCCACAGCGTGGGCCTTAGTTATTCAGAAAGGTGCCCCAGACAGGTAGAGTTCGGAAGACCCTGAAAGACAGTCAAGTCTGAGTGGGAAGGAGAAGGAGGGGAGAGTAAACACGGGGCGAGAAGGGCGTGGGATGTTCGGCAGGCCATACAAACGCCCTTCCTTGGGAACAGTGACGTTGGGGAAGGAGACCATGTGAGTTGGGGAAAGGAAATTGGCGTGATTGGGGAGGATCCTGAACACCTGAGAGTGCCTCCTGCCTTTCAGGAGACTCTTAAGCAAATGACAATGGGAAAATAGTGTCTTTATTGTTAAACATTAATCTAAAATAATACATTAAGTGGGCAAATGTCATGAACACACAATTCACAAGAAGTAATGCAAGTGGCTTTTAAACAAATGAAAAGACCCTCAACCACTTCATAATAGGAGAAAGGTAGACTAAAATTAAGGTTCAGATACCATTTTTAAGATATAAAATTGGCAAAAAAATGCACAGTGTAGAAAAAGTCATCTTGTTTATTGTTGGTGGGACTATAAAATGGTTGTCTCTTTGAAGGTAGTTATGTAAAAAGCTACTAGAATTTAAATGCATATACCTTTTGACCTAGCGATCCCACCACTAGACATTTACCCTGCAGTACTGCCCACTCAGGGGCACAAAGGCCTGTGCACCAGAGTGTTCACTGCAGCGTTGTCCATACTTCCCAAAGACTAGGGACCACCTAAATGTCTGTCAAAAAAGGGCAGGTCTGCATGGTGATGAATGTTAACTGGACTTGTGGTGGTGCTATTTCACAATATATACAAACATGGAATTATTATGTTATATGCCTGAAACTAATACAATGTGAGATGTAAATTACACTTCAATTAAAAAAACAATTAAAAATTATACGTCAATTATGTCATTCTCACAATAGAACACTATGCAGCAGTTAAAAAGAATGTGCAATAGATTTCTATGAAATGCCATGGAATGGTCTCTAAGATACTAAGTGATACGTAAGATGGAGACCTGTGCATATGGTTTGCTACTACTATTCATATACAGGGAGCCCCATGGCTGAGTAAGGTATCCCCTGTTTGTGCCCCCCAACAAAAATAGTTTGGTGTCCATCCATGGACCTAAGTGTGTGGGCACATTGAGGAGGGTAGTTAGTGAAGACGCCAGGAGGTGAGTGCTCTTTCAAATGTGAAGACAGCAACACAAAACTTGGAGAAACATGAAGAATCAACACAACATGACACTACCGAAGGATCACAATACCCTTCCTAGTCAGCGACCCCGACGGCATGAAGATCTGCAATTTACCTGATAAATGACTCAATGTAGCTGTTTTAAGAAAACTCAATGAACTACAAGGAAATGTAGGAAGATAAATGAATGAAATCAGGAAAACAATAAATGAACAAAATGAGAAACTTAAGAAAGGGATAGAGCCCTGCTAGTGTAGCCCGGTGGACTGAGTGCTGGCTTACGAACCAGAAGGTCATGGGTTCAATTCCCAGTCAGGGCACCTGCCTGGGTTGCAGGCCAGGTCCCCAGTTGTTAGGGAGGGTGAATCACATTGATGTTTCTCTCCCTCTCTTTCTCCCTCCCTTTTCTTCTCTTAAAATTAAAAATATATATATTAAATAATACCTTTTAAAAGAAAGAGATAAAAATCATAGAAAGGAATCAAATGAATTCTGAAGCTGAAGGACAGAATGAATGAAATGGGAGGGAAAAATGCAACAGAGAGCATCAGCAACCGAATGAATCAAGCAGAAGAAAAAATGAATGAGTTAAATGGTAAGAACTTTGAAATTACCTAATCGGAGAACAAAGAATGAAAAAGAGTAAAGAAAGCCGACATGATCTGTGCAGTACCATCAATAGAAATAATTTGTAAATTATTGGAGTTCCAGAGAAAGAAGGGGCAGAAAGCTTATTTAAAGTAATATAGCTGAGAACTTCCCAAATCTGGGGAGAGATTTAGATATCCAAGTACATGAAGCGCAAAGGGAACAAACAAACTCAAAAGAGTTCCTCTCCAGGACACAGTCTAATAAAACTGTCAAAAATCAAAAACAAGGGGATCTTAAAAGCAGGAAGACCAAAGAAGCTTGTAACTTAATAGGAACTTGTAAAACCATCATCAGATTTTTCAGCAGAAAACTTACAGCTAGGAGAGAATAGGCTGATGTATTAAAAGTGCTGACGGGGAAGAGTCTAGTCAAGGAACATGTATGAAGGACCCATGGACATGGACAACAGGGTAGGGACTGACTGTGGGGAGCAGGGGAGAGCAAAGGGGGGCAGGAAATTGGAACAACTGGATCGAACAACAATTAAGTAAATAAATGAGTGAATATACTCAAAGAAAAAAACTGCCAACCGAGAATGCTCTATCTGGCAAAATTATCCTTTAGAAGTGAAAGCAAGCTAAAAAATTTTCCCCCAAAAAACGAAAGCTGGAGAGGTTAATCACCACTAGACCTGCCTTAACAATTAATGTTGAAGGGAGTTCTTCAAGCTGAAATAAAAAGATGCTAATTAGTAACATGAAAACATATAAAATATACAATATGCTGTTACAAGTAATTATTTATACAAACCCAGAATACTCCAATAATGTAATATGATTGTGTGTAAACCACTTAACTCTAATATAAACGGTAAAGGACACAAGCATTAAAAATAACTATAATAATTTGTTAATGAATACAAATTAATGAATATAAAAAGAGGTCAATTATGACATCAAAAATGAAAAAGGAGAGGATGAAAGGGTAGGGTTTTTATATGTGATCAAAGGTAAATTATTATCAGCATAAAATACACTGTTAGATCTGTAAGGTGTTATATGTAAATCTCTTGGTAACCACAAAACAAAAACCCACAGTAGATTCACAAAAGATAAAGAGAAGGGAGTCAAAGCAACCACTGTGGCAAGTCATCAGTTCACAAAGGAAGGCAGCAAGAGAGGAAGAAAGAAAGAAGTGAACTCTTAAGATAGCCAGAAAACAGTAACATGCCTCAGTGAGCCCTTACCTATCAGTAATTACTCTAGGGAAGGTGGGATGGGCAGAGGAAGGCAAAGAGGGAAAAATTGAGACAACTGTAACAGAATCATCATAAAAAATAATTACTCAAATTTAAGAAGCTACATTCTCCAGTCAAAAGCCACAGAATGGCTCGATGCAACGCGTTTCCAGTGTAAGGACACAGGCAGACACAAAGGGAAGGAATGGAGAATGACACCCATGCAAGTGGAGACCAGAGAACAGGGACAGTTATATGAGACAAAACAGACTTTAATCCCAAAATGCTAATAAGAGACCAAGAAGGTCACTGTGTAATGATAAAGGGTCAGTTCATCTAGAAGATAAAACAATCATCAATATACATGCACCCAACATCAGAACATCTAACTGTATAAAGCAAATACTAAGATTGGGAGGGAGAAATAGACTGCAGTCATATTAGGGGACCTCAGCACCACACTTTCAACAATGGATAGATCATCCAGACAGAAAATAAATAAGGAACTAATCAACTCGAATGCCACATTAAACCAGATGAACCTCACAGATATCTATAGAAGTGGCAGAGTACACATTCTTCTCAAGTACATACAGAACATTCTCCAGGAATGATGATATGATAGGTCACAAAACAAATTTAAGAAATTTTTTTTAAATGATGATATGATAGGTCTTAGCAAATTTAAGAAAATTGACATCGTACTAAGTATCACTTCCAACCACAACAGTTTGAAACTAGAAATCAGTAATAGGAGAAAGCTGGAAAATTCACAATTATGTAGAAATTAAATAACATACAATCTGAACAATTAATGGATCAAAGAAAAAATCAACAGGGAAATTTAACAATATCTTAAAAACAAAAACACAATATACCAAAACCTGTGGGATGCAGCAAAAGCAGTTTTCAGTGGGAAGTTTATAGAGATAAACACCTACTTTTTAAGAACAAAGAAAGAGCTCAAATAACCAACCTAACTTTACACCTGAAGGGACTAGTAAAAAAAACAAATTAAGACTGAGTTAGAAGGAAGGAAATAACAAAGATCACAGCAGAAATAAATGAAAGAGACCAGAAAAGCAATAGCAAAGATCAATGAAATTAAGAGCTGATTTTTTAAGATAACCAAAATTCACGAACCCTTAGCTAGACTAAGAAAAAGAGAGACACCTCAAATAAACAAAACGAGGCATGAAAAAGGAGACATTACAACTGATGCCACAGAAATACAAAGAATCATAAGAAACGACTGAGAACAAATGGATAACCTAGAAGAAACTGACAAATTCCTAGAAACATAAAACCTCCTAGGACAGTCATGAAGAAATAAAAAATCTGAGCAAACCAAAAATAAGTAAGATTGAATCAGTAATCAAAAATCTCCCAACAATGAAAAGCCTAGGACCCAGATGGTTTTCCTGGTGAATTCTACCAAACATTTAAAAAAGATTTAATGTTAATCCTTCTCAATTCTTCCAAAAACTTTAACAGAAGGGAGCACACCCAAATGTCATTTATGACGCCAGCATTACCCTGATACCAAAGCCAAATAAGGACACTGTGTGAAAAGGAAACTAGCCCTGGCTGGTGCGGCTCAGTGGATTAAGTGCCGGCCTGCCAACCAAAGAGTTGCCGGTTCGATTCCCAGTCAGGGCACATGCTTGGGTTGAAGGCCTGATCCCCAGTTGGGGCTGTGCAAGAGACAACCACACATTGATGTTTCTTTCCCTCTCTTTCTCCCTCCTTTCCTCTCTCTCTAAGAATAAATAAGTAAAAGCTTTAAAAAAAAAAAAGAAAAGGAAATGAGTGCTGGCTTCAGCGCACATAAACTAAAATGGGAATGATGTAGAAATTGGCATGGCCCCTGCCCAAGGATGACTGACAAATTCATGAAGCCTTCCTCAGGAAAAATAAAATAAATTAATTAGTTAAAACAAAATAAAATGCACCCTGCCCATAACAGGCACTCAGTGAATGAGTTTTGAATGAATTAGCAATGAATAAATTGCTGTCCACCACTGTATAGAATACCTGTTACAAAAGTGCTCGATAAATAACGGGAGTGAATTAACTACTTTTTAATCATTCTACACCTCACAGAGACTTTTTAAAGCATGATGGGCATACAAAAAGAAAAATAGCAAAAATCTTCTTGTAGCCCTGGCCGGTATGACTCACTGCATAGAGCACCAGCCTACGAAGCAAAGGGTTGCTGGTTCGATTCCTGGGTTGCGGGCCAGGTCCCCAGTCAGGGGCGTGCTAGAGGCCACCACACATTGATATTTCTCTCCCTCTCTTTCTCCTTTCCTTCCCCTCTGTCTAAAATATAAATTTTTAAAAATTAAAAAAAAAACTTCATATACATACCACCTACCTTATGGAAAACAAACATTACAAACAGCTGAAACCCTCTATGGAGCCCCGCCCGACCCTGCTCATCTCCCCCCTGGCGGGGCCACTGTCCTGACTAGGTGTCTGCCGTTCGGCAGCTTCTGCTGTACGTGTCCCTGTGTCTGCAGCCGCAGCAACAGGTAATAGTGTGAGAGCAGTGTGACTGCAGGTGAGGCCGAGACGCCAGGAACAGCTCAGAGCCCAAAGGCAACTCTCACGCTTATTTTAAAAGAAGTCTAATTTTTACTTATAGGTGACATTACAGAGAACCAATAGAAAAGAGAACAGTGACTAGATGCACTTATATTTCCAGAGATTTTAAAATTTGATTTCTCTTAATGGACAGTTTTATACTTTAGGAATTAGCTAAAATGTTTGTTAATTTTAGGGTTGACTTGTATAGAAAAACACAGGTTATTGTTTACACTTTTATTTATTTAAAAAAATTTTTTTAAAGATTTTATTTATTTATCTTTAGAGGGGAAGGGAAGGAGAGAAGGAGAGAAATATCAGTGTACGGTTGCCTCTCATGGGTCCCCTGCTGGGAACTCGCCTGCAGCCCAGGCATGTGCCCTGACTGGGAATCAAACCGCAATCCTCTGGTTCGCAGGCCCATGTTCAATCCACTGAGTTACACCAGCCAGGTGCACTTTTATTTTTTAAGAAAAACAGCAAAAAAGCTTATAAGAGGCACTGAGTAGGAACACTAGACAACCTAGTCATTTTAGTATGAGTCTCAAAGTAGGTTACCTTTTCTGAGCCAATTTTCCCATCTTTAAACTGGGGTAATTTAAAAAATAATGAATTTATGCCAAACCTCCTTCCAAAAATATCTAGAGTTAGCTTTTTGGGAAGGTGCAAAAATCAAAGAATATGAATGTGAGACCACTTTTAAATTATAAGCTGCAGGTACAGAATGTGGTAATGTTAGTGGCACCAGCAACGACAGCAATGTGCGCCACCTAGTAGTGAAACAGAGTAACTGCATCCAAATGCAATTCTGTACGTACTATAGGGCATCACAATTCACAGCCTGACACGGATTACTGGATTTTGGAGGAAAGACGCTGACATAAAAGACAAAAAGTTATCTCAGAGAAAACAAGCAGTGTAAAAGTAAAAAAAAATGTAAGATTATCATTAAGTATTCAGAGATGAGAAAATATAAAACAAATTTCTATAAAAAAAAGAAAATTCAGGGAATGAAAATGAGCTCTGAGCAGCTGGGAGTTGGATCTGGCTCACAGAAGCCGACTGTTAAATTTCCAGGAATTCTGCAAGCCAGTTAAGCACATGCATTATTAAAAATTAAGTTATACAAACTAAAAAATAAATAATATTTAAAACAAATGTAATAAATACTCAAAACTCACTGTTTCCTAATTACTTTACACCATTTTCCTGTTACCCAAAGTCTTGAAGTCATTCATGTTTACTGTCCCCGTACAGGGGAGATGCTACAGGACGGCCGGCTCCCGGGCATCTCCCAGCTCCGCTGTGACGGCCACTGGAGCCTGAAGTCTGCGCTCCCGGGAGGTTTCGTGCCACAGAAACAGATGAACACGGCAAATCTGAGCTGTCTTCTCCCACCCCCATGAAAGAGTTAAACATCTACCGACACACCAACATACACTTAACAACATAAAACATATATACATATATATGCACACATGTATGTACATTTACCAGTGTGTCACTGGCTCCTGGAAATAAAATATGAGACTTAGTAAGATTGGAAGATAAAAATTGAAAACTACCAGAAAGCAGGAAAGGAGATGGACATTAGTTATTGAAAGATTTTTAAAAAATTAGAGTGTCAGTCCAGAAAGTCTAATGTGAAAATGATGAGCTCCAGAAAGAGAACACAGTGGAAGAAATATTAAAGGAATAATTCAAGAAAATTTCCCAGAACCACAAGACAATTTTGAGACTGAAAAAGCTTGAGTACCAGAACAAATGAAAAAGATAAAACCAAGGTATTACTGCAACTCTCAAAACACTGAGCAATAAAGAGGCAACCCTAAAAGCATCGTGTAATGGGGAAAAAAAGGTTAAAAACAAAAGGAGTGGAAACCAGAATGACATCTGACTTCTCAACAGCAGGAGGGTTTGGCAGGGGCTTGGGGGAGGCCTGTGTGTTCTTTTTTGTTTGTTTGTTTTCGAAGCTAGATAAAATAAGCAATGATAATATTTTTAGGAAAAATTATTTCCAACCTAGAACCTATTCCCAAATGCTCAACAATAAGAGTAGAAAAAAGATTTCCAAAATCTCAAAATTTTTTCATCCTTTATGTGCTTCCACTTAATCAGTTTTTATTGAGAACCTACTATGTGTCAGACACTCTTCTAAATATTAGGGCTTGCCCTGGCTGGTGTGGCTCAGTGGATTGATTGCTGACCTGCAAACAAAAAGGTTGCCGTTTTCTTTTTTTAATTTTATTTAGTTATTTCTAGAGAGAGGGTAAGTGAGGGAGAAAGGGAAAGAAACATCAATGTGTGTTTGCCTCTCACACACCCCTTACTGGGGACCTAGCCTGCAACCCAGGCATGTGTTCTGACTGGGAATCAAACTGGCAACCCTTTGGGTCACAGGCCTGCGCTCAATCCACTGAGCTACACCAGCCAGGGCTAAAGGTTGCCATTTTGATTCCCAGTCAGGGCACATGCCTGGGTTGCAGACCAGGTCCCCAGTAAGGGGTGTGTGAGAGGCAACCACACATTGATGTTTCTGTCACTCTCTCTAAAAGTGAATAAATAAAATCTAGTAAGTAAATAAATAACTATTAGGGCTATAGCAGTGAACAAAGTCCCTGCTCTAATGGGGGTTCCTTGTAATCTGGAAATACTAATATAATAATTTAGGTAGTAGTCAGTACTCAGGAGAACAGCAGGACTGGGGAGATGGAGTGCTTTCTAAAGGGCTGCTCTGGTGAGGTTACAGTTGAACAGAGACCTGAACGCAGGAGCAAGCCACTGGATAGCTGGGGGAAGAGCCTCCCAGGCAGAGGAATTAACAAGGGCAGTGGCTTTGGAAGTGTGTGAAGCCAGGCTCCTGTGACTGGCAAGGGTGGGAGGAGATAAGAGGCAGAGGTAGCTGGAGGCCAGGTCACAGGGCCCTTAGTGTGGGCGCTTTCCGTTTGTGCCTCCAGAGCCACTCTTCACCCTGCTCTGTCGCTGGGGAAGCTAATGGTAGGGACCACTCATACTTTTTGAGTTTCTTTAAAGACTCCAGATTTCTCAATTTGAGTGTGATATTCATCTGCTTCCTGCTGGATTCTGACACTCCCTTGTAGGGCAAGATACGGATTATAGATTTTATTTTGAATGAGATGGGAACCACCAGAGATTTTTGAGCACCTGAATAGCATGTGGTTTACATTTCGAAAAATCACCCTAGACACTGGATGTGGAAAGGACCTGGTGAGGGTCATGGGGGAAAAAGAGGCTTTTACAGGAGGGAGGGTAAGAGAAGGGGACTCAGACTAGGGTGGCTGTGGTAGAGGTGCTACGTGGATGAATCAGGATGCTGTTAAGGTAGAGCCAAGAGAATCTGGTGATCAGGTAGGTATGTGATGTAAGAAAAAAACAGCATAGATGATTCGGGGTTTTGGCACGAGGATAAATCAAATTTCCATTCACTGAAATAAAGATGGCCTGAGAGAGAGCAGCCTTGGGCTGTAAAACTCAGGAGCTCAATTTGAAATAAAGTCCAGGTATTTAGTAGAGATCCAAGTGGCGATGTTGATTAGATGGACACACATCTAAGGCTGGCGTACAAGGACAGTCTGGGCTGGAGGTACAAATTCTAGCAGTCACTTCAAAAACAGCGTTTAAAGCCACGGACTAGATGAAATTACCTAGGAGTTGGTACAAAGAAAGGAGGCCCAAACATTGAGCCCTTTCTTCAGAAGCTACTATATGTTCTGCCAAAAGGAAAGAGTAAACCAGGAAAGAGGAAGAACACACGAGATGTCGAAATAGGGACTCCAACACGGAAGGCAGGAAGAAGCCCCGCCAGGAGACCCCAGAACTGTGGGTCTCAGGAGTGACTCGTCTGAACCGGAGCCAGAGGGGTGAGCGCCCTGGGAGAGGGACAGCCCAGGGAAAAACACAAAGAAGTAAACTTGACTGAAGATACTGAAATGCAAACTACGGTTCAGAGTTTGGGGATGAATTACAGAATGGAACACAGAGAGAACATCAAGTAGATGGAACAGCAAGGTCATTTCTAACATAATTTATGTACATATATATTTGCAGGAATGTTAAGTATAGAATTACATCAACAATATATAGAATATTCAGAAGTATAAAACATGTTATTACGAGGATTCCAGGGGAAGAGGTATGGACTAAACACCAAGAAACCCTAGAACAAGGACGTTACGTACATGTACGTGAGTGTGCATAGCAGCACTGTTCACAATAAGCAAAAGGCAGAAACAGCCCAAACAACCAGCAATGAACAAATCATGGTACATACTTACAGTGGAATATTATTGTTACAGAAATGAAGTGCTGATACACGCTACGTCATGAACCCCGAAGACATGATGCTAAGTGAAAGCCAGACATAAAAGGTCACATGCTGATTGATTCCATTTGTAAGAAATACCCAGAGTAAGTGAACCCACAGCAATAGAAGTAGACGGGTGGTTTGCCAGAGGTGGAGGGAGGGAAGAATGAGGAGTAAATGCTTTATGACTATGGGGTTTTATTTTGAGGTGATGAAAATATTTTGTAATTGAGGTGGTGGTTTTACAATATTATCAGTATACTAAATGCCACTTAATTCCTTGGAAATGGTGAATTTTGTGTTATGCAAATTTCACTTGTTCCTTTAAAAAAGTACATTATTTAGAAATAAAGTGTACTAAATGTCAGAGAACAGCTGAGTTGAATCAGTTCCGACTTCAGGCTGCAAAAGGGAAAGGGCTGTTCTCAGTTAAGACCTGTAAAATCCGACTGTTCAAACCACATGTACGCACAACCGCAACTTGGTAGGATTAACACCTGTCACTTGGTTTTTAAATGAAAAGAACACTTCCTGGAGGAAACCTTCAAGTCGAAGGTGCTCACATATACGCAGATTTGGACAAATAAGATCCATATGCTGATTCCAACTGTGTCAAAATCAATGTACAAAGAAAAAGCACATTAAGAAACATTTGTTTAGCCCTGGCTGGTGTAGCTCAGTGGATTGAGTACAGGCCTGTGAACCAAAGGATCGCGGTTCGATTCCCAGTCAGGGAACACACCTGGGTTGCAGGCCAGTTCCCAGAAGGGGATGCATGAGAGGCAGACATACATTGATGTTTCTCTCCCTGTCTCCCTCTCTCCCTCCCTTCCCAAGGATGGATTTAAAAAAAAAAACAAAAACGGGGGAGAATAAAGCCCTGGCTGCTGTGGCTCAGTGGATTGAATGCCAGCATAGGAACCAAAGGGTCACTGGTTTGAATCCCAATCATAGTGTGTGTGGGGTGCTGAGAAGTGACCACACATTGATGTTTCTGTCCCTCTCTTCCCCTCTCTAAAAATAAATAAAACCTTTTAATTAAAAAAAAAGGGAGAATAAATGTCTAAGTCTGGAATACAGATGAAGCCCATACTAAACAGAAGGGAGAAGCATGAAAAAAAATTTGATTGACCACTGGGGAAAAAGATCAATAAGGAAAATCATTGGAGACAGTATCAATAAATCAATAAAACTCTTAAAACTTCTACAGCAAAAACAGCAATAAACAAGATGGAAATTGGGAAAAATAATTAGAGCACATGAGGAAAGTTTCAGAGTTAACATTGTTCCAAAATAAAAACAGGGCATGAGTAGACAATTTGCAAAAAGTAAACATTAAGATACTCAACAATAATGAAAGTTGAACAGAATAAAGAGCATCGCTGCCTCTCTGAATAAAGACCTACACAGCTAAGAAGGAAAACAGGCCCTGTCCAGAGCTCAGTTGCTCGGTGGAGCCTGGCCCTTGTCAGGCTCGTGACACCAACTGTGAGGGTTCCATCCCGTTCAGGGCGCACACACCCGCCAACCAATGCGTGCACAAAGAAGTGGAACAAATCAGTGTCTCTCCCTTCCTATCTATAAGTCAATTTCGCCCTGGCTGGTGTAGCTCAGTGGATTGAGCACAGGCCTGTGAAGCAAAAGGTCACCAGTTAGATTCCCAGTCCGGGCACGTGCCTGGGTTGCAGGCCAGGTCCCCAGTAGGGAGTACGTGAGAGACAACCACACAGTGATGTTTCTCTCCCACTCTTTCTCCTTCCCTTCCCCTCTCTAAAAATAAATTTAAAAAATATTTAAAAAGTTAAAAGTCAATTTAAAAAAGTAATTTGAAAGGGTGTGAAGAAATGACATTTTCATGTACTTTTCTGAGTACTTATCAGTAATTTTGAAAGGCAGTTTTACAAAATACATAAAATATATAACATGCCAGATCCCATTTCTGGGAATTTGTCCCAGTAACTACAAGGCAAATTGGCACACGTCTGGAACAGTGTCCACAACTGGGATGTAACGAGAGATGGTTTGTGTGCAGTATGGTACCCACATGCAAACAGGTGTCTGTAGACACATGAACAGGTGGTTACCTGAGGGATGTTCACTAATCGCTAGGGATCCTGAATGATTTAACCGCCACATACTGGATTCTTGGTCATCTAAATCCTGCAAATCACACAGCCCCTAAGTGGGAAGGCCGTTTCTGAAAGCCAAGTTTGACTCCTCTGCCCACACTCCAAAGGGCTGTAGGTAGTCTTCACATTTTCTTTCTTACATTAAGTATATTACTTTTTTAAGACATCAGCACTTCTCACAGCCCCGACTGTTGTAGGTTGGGCATTGTCCTGCAAAGTGCACAATTGCCAGTGAGTCCCAGTCAGGGCACATACCTGGGCTGTGGGTTTGGTCCCAGCTCAGGGGATGTGAGGGCAACCAACGGATGTTTCTCACATTGGTGTCTCTCTTCCCACCTAAAACTCCAACATAGTCTAATATCTGCAGTAATTGTCAACTCAATGACAAGAATTAAAATATACTCATTATTTTAAAGAAAACCTAGAGATCCTTTAAAACATCAAATGCTTCACCTACAACTTAACTAGTTTTTGGTCCAGAACCACCAATACTCACCATTTGCTGGCTACCCAGGATCTGCAAACCATCACACCTCTGCAAAGGATGTTACCTTTTTGAGTTGGCAATGCTTGTCCTACTACACATAAGTTTATTCCCTTGTGATGGTTACCCACTTTTAACATGAACACAAAAGCACAAGAGAAGAAAAACTTACTTCTAACACTAGTTAAGAAATGGGTAAAATACCGAGTTTCCTCACCTGTTTCCCACATTTGTGAGCCCCTTAGGAAAGGGACTGGATCAGTCTGCACATCTGGCATAGAGCACGTAATGCTGGGTAGGCAAATACAGAGCCCTGAAGAACAAGGGAAGGGACTTGGGTATCTACACATGCCCCCCGACCCCCACCCCCCTCCACAGATCAATGCTGGTTACAATGCTGTCTCTTAAAATCAAGGACTACATACTATTACTACTTAGACAAAAGCTTAAATAAAAAGGTTATTAAACTTAGAAAAAAGGTGGTCCATATAAAGGACCACCTGCCTTAACTTTTCCTGCATTCTGAAGGAACATGGCTCCACTCACCAGACACCCAGCTAATTCACTGGTCTTACAGCCTCCAACACACTCCGGTTGTTCAAGAGAACTGAGAACTGTCCCTCTTCATGTACCCATGTACCTCATTAGGTTGTTCCAAGAATTAAAAGAAACACTGCCCTCGCTTGTGTGGCTCAGTGGATTGAGTGCCAGCCTGCAAACCAAAGGGTCACTGGTTTGATTCCCAGTCAGGGCACATTCCTGGGTTGCAGGCCAGGTCCCCACTGGGGGCACGCACGAGAGGCAACCACACATACAACTTTCTATCCCTTTTTCTCCTTTCTTTCCCCTCACTGTAAAAATAAATACATAAAAATCTTTAAAAAAAGAAAGGAATTGAGTCAATTTTATCTTCACTCATCCAAAGGTTCAAAGGCTCAGGGGCCTGAGCTCACCTCAATTCTTCCCATTTCTGCTGTTCCAGACAGAACCGTGCTTGCTCACTGCCCCCAGATCCCTTCCTCCTCATCTGTGAGCCCCCCCCCCCATCAAGTAGGGAACAGGCACCACTTTCTCCCACGGTGCCTCCAGACTAAAAGTGCTTCTTCTCCAGAGACACTTTCATATACGTCTCTGATACTACACTGTGGATAACACTTATCACGATTCTAAGTATTTAACACTGAATGCATTAAAAACACAAGAAACGTTTTTGCCTTGACATCCAAACAATTAAGTCACTGCTTCCTGTTCTTTTCCAGCCCCAATTAAGTTATAACCATCTCAACTAAAGGCAATTTATAAACCGGACGTAATTAACGACTACTACTTAATGCTGCAGAATTACACAATTTTAATTCTGCTAAAACACTTCCCATGGCAAAAAAAAGAGAACAACACAAATCACTGATACACAGTTTTCTTAAAGAGAAATAAAAACAAAACATGCATCTAGTTAAACAATTATTTTATTGCTTGAATACAGACATTTTATGCAACCAGGGCAGAGGCTGTGGATGATTCGCTGAAAAGAAAGGGGGAGAGGGAGAAGACTGGATTAATACAGGTCCTCCATATTCACTTATATAATCTCCCAGTTCATGGAGTTGCTTCCAAACAGCCCAAATAACCCCAAATATATAAAATGCACCAAACTGAACCACTGAGTTCCTGAATGGGTTCACTGTGGCTCAAGCACAACAAATGAATGACACTTACTCAGACGTTCAAGAAAGAACTGGCCAACATAAGGAAACACCTTTCTAGTGGAAACTGCGAATGTTTGAAATTAATCATCATAGTGAGCGACTAGTGCCAAATTAAAGACAAACACCTGGGAGCAGTAGTATCAAGTGAAATTTTACCCACTACCCAACTGAGATATAAAAGGCTTAGTTCATGTTCTCCAACTCAGGGGTTTGCAAATTATGGCCCTTTGCTTGTCTTTGTAAATAAAGTTTCAATGGAAAATGGCCACACTCATTTGTTTAGGTATCATCCATAGCTGTATTCCTGTTATAACGTCAGAGTTCAAAGAGTAATTAGTTGACCATACAGCCATGACCTAAAACATTACTGTCAGTCCTTTCACTGTATTTACAACCTGGCTAACTCTTGTTCTTGTTTACAAAGAAGGTCAATACTTACTATTTCCAATTGGGAGGGAGGACTCGCTTGGTCTTATAGTATCGAGCCAACCGGTGAATACGGCTCTCGATCAGAATCAGTCGGAATTTAGCATCCTTATCCTAAAAATAAAAATTGGTAGAATTCAAGAGAAACACTCAAAACTACTAAACATTTTTATGACAAAGGAATGTATAGACACGATGCACTTTAATGAAAAATTACCCCATGCCCTGTAATAGAATCACACACTCGGGTTCATGTGGCTATATTAAGCCCTTAAGGGAATTTAAGGTTTCCTTCCACAAGACTAAGGAATGATTTATAAAACTCTGCAAATAAACACCTCAACATTTTCAATCAACTGGCTATACTGTAAATAGGGGAACCAAAAACTCTTCTCCCCAACCTCTTCTGGTAGAATTAAAAAAAAAAAAAAATCCTCATTCAAGATGTGCTCACTGATTTGATGAAGGGAGGGAGAGGGGGGATGGCGGGGGGGGGAGACACATTGATGTGAGACAGACACATCGTGAGACAGACAGAAACACCGATCAGTTTCCCCCATGTGTCCCAACCAGAGAGAGAGCCCAAGACCCTTTGGTGCACGAACAATGGATGCACCAAATGATGGATGCTGCAACCAACTGAGCCACCCAGCCTGGGCTAGAATTTTACCTTTAAAGCCACTTTTGTGTGACTTGTCTGTGCCCTTAACCACCTTACGTAGTTCAAACCGGATGCAGTACATTTTATTGAAGTAAGTTAGTACAAGCAGTTGTAACTATTCTCTTACCTTTCTGTTCCTCTCAAGATGCTTTCGAACAGCAACAGCTTTCTTAATTAAATGGTAGAGATCCTCAGGAAGATCAGGAGCAAGTCCTTTGGACTTAAGAATTCTCAAGATTTTATTGCCCGTCACAAAACGTACTTGTGCAACGCCATGTGAGTCTCTCAGAATCACACCTGTAAAGGGAGGAATACATGATCAATTCCCAAACCAAACAGGCTAACTGGAGCATGTGGTGTCAAGTATCCAAGATGAGGCCACTTTTCAAGTTTCCCATCTGTGAAATGGGCCTGCTTTTATACACCACAGAAACCAACATGAGGACTCACGCAAAGCTCACTCAGACATCCAAGGAAGATTTACCCAACACTGAGGAGAGTGTATCTGGTGAAAATGGCGAATGTCAGTCAAACGAACTTGCTAGGTTACAGGACATCAAAACTATTCCTAAAATTTCAGCTATGTGTATTTGTTCCCTTAAAACCTGCTAACATTTAGTAGGAATATCAGCTGTTCTAAAAACATACCTCTATTCTTTAAACATCTCAAAATAGCACCATCTGACTATTTCACAGCCTGCTATCTACTTCCTATTGCGTGTGATGCCTCCACCATACATGTGCAAGAGGGCAAATATTTTGCCTGTTTTCCACGTCTGTATGTATTCTCAGGGTCCACAACCACATAGCAGGTAAACATTTGCTGAATGAAGCCACTTGCAAAGTCACACACAGCTGACGTTCAAATCACATCTGCGGTAAAGTGACAAGCACTCTTGAGTAGCCAATCTTAACCCCTTTACCTAATGGCTTTGTAATTTGAGGCTAATTATATAAGCATACCGTGCCTCAGTTTCCTCAACTGTAAGATGGGGAAACTGCTAATATTTACTTGAAAGTATTGCTGTCAGGATTAAACGAAGTGAGTTTATATAAAGCATTTAGAACCATGCACTTTGGAAAATATCTAGCGAAAATAAATACCTACTAAATTTTAGACAACGCTTTAATAATTGCATCGTCTTCAGAGAACCAGAGTTCCATAAAATGAAGATGAGGTATGGGTCACCCACAATAAAGGCAGCAGAGACGGTAAAAGGTTTCCAAGGCACATTTACCAACCCCCAACTTCCCCCCTCGCCCTGGTTTTTCAGCCAGTTACACGAAGGCAGGTGCAAGGGACTACATTAGACAAAAACACTCACCGATTTGTGAGGGTGTCAGGCCCTTCTTGGCCAGTTTGTAGATCTGCTCCTTCACGTCGTCAGACGTCAATTTCAGCCACTGTTTGTAGAAAAGAAAGCAGCCTTAATACGACAAACCTGGGAGGGTAGCGAGGCACGGCGGCCCCTCCGCCCTCGAATTCGAACTCCTCCTGATGCTCACACATGGCCCTCATCTCGGGGCCTCTTCTCCAGAGCCACGAACAGCATCCCCTTCCCTCCCTGGTCCCCGCACACTACTCACGGTGGGGACGCTGCGGCGGTACGGTAGAGCCGACTGGGACAGGCCCTTCCTGGGGAGAGAAGCAGTCTCGGGGTGAAGTGGCGCTCTGTGCTACAGCAGCCTAGAACATCACCCCTCCACCCGCTGCGCCAACTCGCGCCTTCCCCCCCACGCCCGCGGCCGAGCCCTCCGCCCCGCCGGGAAACCCGCGCTCACCCGGGAGCGTGCATGCGACCCATGATGGCGGAGGACAGAGAGCAAAAAGAGAGCGTGAAGTGCAACGCCGCAGGAAGCCACCTAGCACGCAGGAAGTGACCTCACACGTCCCTGCTTCCGCGCTTGCGAAAGGCGGGGCTACGCCGCGTGGCCGACGGCGTCCGAGCAACTACGTATTTCCAAATGCATTTCCCGGCGATGGTTGAGTCTTCGGTAGACCGCACTACACATCCCGGCGTGCACCGGTTCTGACCGGTTCGCGGACCAAGCGGGAAATTAGTGTATCTAGGGCCGGGTCTCCGGTCTCGGGGAGTTGCCGGCGCCGAGATCGTGCTGGTTCGAGTTCTGGACTGGGAGTGGGCGTGAAGCAGAGACAGCTGCTCGAGTAAAGGCAGCTGTCTGCGCCCCTGCCATAGCGAATTTGGGTGCTTAATTCAGCTGCACACAATTCATTTAATCACCAGCGTCAGTCTGTATCTTAATACTAGGTATCTCAGAGGCTATGCTCGGCCGTTAATAAATTCTCAGGTTCAATCTATGGCGATAAGTGCCAGACTGGAAGTAATTAATGGTAATGGTTACCCACCCTCCTTCCCCCACCAACGCTACCATTTTCTTTCTTTTCTCCCCATTCGAAGATATATTCATTGGTTTCAGAGAGAGAGAGAGAAAAAACAAAACAAAACAAAACACATCATCTATTGGTTGCCTCCTGTGGCCCGACTGGGAATGGGACCTGCAACCTCGATATTTGTTTGGCGGAGATGAACCTGCAACCTTTTGGAATGACAGAGGGTGCTCCAATTGAGGCCAGGTCGGAACCTTCTGATTTTTTAAAGACAAAGGGGAAAGTTATAATTCTACTATCTAAGATATTGTCACTGTTAACACAATTATTAGAGATTCTGTAAACATGATTTTTTAAAAATTGTGTAGGCTTTAGAATTTTTTTTAGTTAAAACTCATACCATAAAATTTGCTATTTCAACCATTTTAAAGTGTACAATTTAGTGTCTTAATAAAATCTCATGAATATTACATTGTATGGATGTATCACATTTTTATCTGCGCATCAGTTGGTGGACATTTGGTTTGTTTATACCTTTTGGGCATTATGAATACTGCTATGAATGTGTGTACAATTCTTTTCAAGATTACACATACACGTAGAAAGTACGTGAATTGCTGGGCCATTAACTTTTAACTTTTTGAGAACTGCCAGACTGTTTTCCACAGGCAGCTGCACTTTTACATTCCCATAGCAATAAACGAAGGTGCCAAATTCTCTACTTCCCCATACTTTTTATTCTAGCTCTCCTAGTGGGTGTGAATTAGTTACTTAATTTTTATTTGTATTTCCCTAATTACTCATGAGGTCAAGCATCTTTGCATGTAATTGGCCATTTTGGAGAAATGTCTATTCAGTCATTTGTCCATTTATAAATTGGGTTGGCTTTCTTTAGAGCTTTAAAGGCCCTCTCCAAAAACCAGAATTATCTTCTGGAGGGCTGAGCCCTTCTGGTACAGACTTCCCTCACTAGGCAGGTGTTCTAGGAATATCTGTATCAGTGCACCAGCTGGCATTACTGTGAGAGGCTGCATTCAGCTTCAGTGATTTTTTTCTTGTACACTCTTTTAACAAGTTTGCCCATTTCATGGTGCACCGGGTGATTTATTGGTGCACATGCCACATCATGCTGAGTGTTCAGCAGTTTCTGACCAAAACTGGCATGACCACCATGCCCCACTCTCCCTCTTCACTAGATCTCACCCTAAGTTGTTTCTCCGCATGAAAAAAGTCCTCAGAGGGAAATGTTTTGCCAATGTGGAAGAAGGGAAAAAGTGACAAACACTAAAAGTCATCAGAATCAGTGAGTTAAAAAACTTGGGAAAAAATGTCTTAATAGGTGCATTGCATTAAATGGAGTGTATCTTGAAGGTGACTGAAGTTGAAACATGTAAGATACACAATTTTTTATAAATAAATCCCGGCCTTTTGGGGGGTTCACCCTTGTAGCTATAGCTACACATATCCTGGTTTCTATGGATCAAATAAGATTAGACCTAAGGCAATAACTGCTGTATGTGTATGATGGATTCATTCATGGAGTTCATTACACTGTTGTCTAATTTTGTATGCCTCAAATTTGCATGCTAAAGTACTTCAAAAGAGTATAGGTGAAATAAAGTTGGTTTTCTTTTCTGCAGAAACTGAGTTCATTACTCCCAAGAAATTGTCTCTGTTTAAGCTATTGCTCTTCATGGTGTCTAAGCCCTTTTACATGTTATGATACGATTTGGTATTAGAAGAGTGTACATTTCCCTGTTGTGCATACATGCCTATAACATGGCTGTTACTACACTATTTAATATTTAAATAAACTACCAAAGGCCAGGGACTACACTCACAGAAGCATTTCAGTTCTATAAAATGGTGACGGGGCTCCTGGGAAGAGGCAGTCCAGACCTTGTTCAAAGAACTTAGAAATCAAGCACACTGTGTTTGGACATCATGAGGGGCAACCGACAGGTCAGTTCTAAAATTCTGGATTATTTGAACCTAATAAACTCCTGAGTAAAATGCAAAGAATAGCAACAGCTCAAAGTTTGGAACCAAAAACATGAATATGTTGATAAGGAAAAAAATGATAGCAGAGTTCCTTTATTCCAGAAATATTTTAATACAATCATAGTACAGTTAAGAAGTCACATCCAATCCACTGAATATATTCAAAAAATTAATAAAAATATTATACATCTTTACTCACTACCTTACTATAATTAAAGTATTTGGTTCTTACGCATCAGACTAAATGCCATGTTCATGTTTGCACTGCTAGTAAACAGCATGTAAGTCCATCTATGAGTTACACGGTGTGGCTTCACTCCTTACTGAAGTCTAAGTATCAAAATTGAACGTTTTCTTTTTTAAATGCCACAACATTTGAATCCTAGAAAAGAATGGTTAACCAATTTAAGGCAAGATATTGAAGCTTTTATACAACTTTAATTTGAAGAGATATAAGAATACTTTTATCAAAGATCATACATGCCTTAACATTTAGATACCTATTGATTCTTAAAAAGGCAGTAATAAAAATGTCAGTGCAAATTCTACATTGGGTTTCTCAGTAGAGAAAACAATAGGTTTTTTTGGAGCAAACCATTATTTTCAAATCCCAAAATACTCCAAGAGGAAAAAAATTCTGGTGCAGGACTTACATATAGCTTAACTATTTTTACTCAATAAAGATAGATATAAAACATGATTATACATAAAAGTTAGTGTCTTGGCCAGTTTGTTTAAACTTTAGTTAGATTTACTTGAATGCAGGCTTTAAAAAAATGACTGAGAACCAACTAATTTAAAATTTATTGATAGTAGTGCAAAAAGAGGCGTCTCTGTCCCCACCCCTGCTGCTTTTGGTAAGGGCTGAAGATTAGCATCTCACAAAGAAATAACTTATATTAAAATATATGTAAAGTAAACTTGTGTGATGTTTTAATGACCAAAAAAGGCACAAAATTATTTAAATTAAGAGAAAACATTACCATTTCTTCTGAACTCTGGTTAACTATAAAATATTAATCATAATATACACTTTTAGATGAGAACCCAGATTTCTTGTAACTGAACGGTGACACCACATTTTCTATCTCTATTATTTGTGTAGACAGACACTACAGTAAGACGGCCAATAGGCAGTCTACAGTACTAACTGCACTGTGACAGTGGCTAAGTGACAACTTGTGGAATGGAATTAGGTTTCAAAAACTCAAGTGAAAATACTTAGTACTTTTACATTTGCAAAGCTACTTACACACTTGAAGAAAATGTTAACGGTATGTGAAAAAAGAAAATAAGTGGTGGTGATTGACGTGCATTTTAATTAATGTATTAAATAGACAACACATTTTAACATTTAAAAAAAAAAGACATTCATACATCATACGGGGTTTCTTACAAATGGACCATTAGTGTTAGGCACCAAAAATTTCAAGTTTTTCTCATTTCTTATTAGCCTGTTTCACCAACACATCCTCAACTATCTATTTCTGCTCTGCACGTATCACCCTGTGCGTGAAGCACCCACACAGCCCGTGTAAAAAACTCTGTCCTGGACGCCTGAACGGCAAACGGCCCTGTCCCTCTTGGTATTTGCATCGCGTATTTTGTCAGTTATCTCACAGCACCTAGAGTGTTACAATCTCTGTTATCATTGAAAGAGTGAATTTCTATTTTAGCCATGAGAATATATATATATACATATTTGTCCAAACTAAACATAAAACTATGTGAACTTGAACAATAAAAATGAATCTTACTCTTAATGGTTACTGTAAATAATTTCAATATGTCCCTTATGATTCAGAGTCACATTATTTTAAGGAAAGTAACTTTTCTTAAAAAAGTTATTTTTTTGGATGTATGCCTACAAGTGTAAAACAGATTACAAGACCAACTTTGCCATAAAGCCTATATAAAAATTTCGTCTGGACCCCAGAATCTTGTCCTGGGCCTGCTGTGAAGAGTCGGCCCTACGCACTACAGTTCTGCCAACCAGGAATGGGTTCACGGGTAAACAATTTCACTTGTTTAATGAGGGACTGGAGTACAGACACATGGAAGTGAAACTACCAAACTTCAACTCACGCTCCTGGGAATAAAGGTAGGATTATAATGGAATGATAAAATTTAGTGTATTGCTACATTGATGAATCTCAGTTACCAGGCAACAAAAACATAAATCAGATGGCTGACTTTAAATAAGTCACATGTCAGAAGTAAAGAAAATGATCTTTTTGTGGGAAAAACACTAGTCAGTGTACATAATGTCTTGAGTAAGTTGAAAGTGAGTGAAAACTATTTACTATTGATCAAGTCAGGAAAAATAATCAGAATGAAGTGCCAGGAAAGCATGTGAAGTTAAGGCACCATTATTTACAACTTCAGTAACTGGCACTCAATTCTGAAAAAGGCTTTAAAGACATGAAAAATAAAAAGTATTATTTCTCCCTACTTCTACAAATGACTTAGTAGTTCTCAACATAACGATCTATAATCTGTGCTTTGCTTCTCGGCCCTGTGCATAGCAGCTGCATCGACGGCGACACCCCGCACCTGCCCTGTGCTTTGGTGTCTGCAAACACGACTCTGGTGGAGGCTGCAGAAGGTGCAAACCAGCAAACAAACACGCACTGTCTGTGTAAGAAAGAGCGAAAAACAGACCAAACTAAAGCTAGTTCTCTGAATTACCCAAGAGAGGGTTAAACTGTTCACCAGATAAGTCTCTTTCAGACTTATTATATATTAAGTTTAGGGTTTATAGCATTCTACATAATGACTTTAAAACAGCAATGGCTTCAACAAATTCATAGAAGTTAATTATGTGACAGCTGGTCCAACACAGATGTTGAACCCAACACATACGTTTTACTTTATAAATTCTGTCCAAGTATAAAAGCAGTATAAACAGTTCTCCTGTGTGTGTGCGTGCGTGTGTGCACACGCACAGATGGTGCTTCCAAAGCTCAGAAATTCACTAGCTTAAAAATAGGTTGCTGCCGTCAGTTGATACCACTTAACCGTCTCTTTGCTCAGGTTGAAATCTTTCAAAGGCAGGGTTATTCCACCCAAGAAAAAATTCTCCCGTAGAGACTCTGCACTGAGTACACTTAGTTGAAGTTCTCTCTGTCTTAGGATTTCTTTGCTATATCCGCTGTACACAAGCTATAGCAAAGGCAAAAAGAAAACAGAAAGTTACACATTATTTGGTTTCTTGGATTATTTTAAGTAGTAACATAAATGGTTACTAGTTACAGAGTGACTACAATTAATAACACTGGTTAGACACATCCGGTTGGAATGTGACACGTGCTTTGGACGCACACTTTGCGGGTCAGGGGTCCTGGACTGTATCATCAGTCCTCTGAGTGTCTGACACAGGAGTGCCCCAAGGAGAAAGTTCCTATGGCATAAAACCAAACACATGTTTTTTCTGAGATGGAGGTGCAGGGAAGGGAAAAGGAATTACAAGGCAGCATGCAGTAAGATGATCTAATAGCTAGGAAAAAGGGAATAGAAGGAAGCAAGTTGAGAAAGCATAATTATAATTATTTTACAAAAAATGACATTAAAATTTTCTTCTGTTACCTTTTTTCTGTTGGATTTTATCTACCATAAAGTGATACTCTGATTACCCACAATCCAATGCAAACTCGCCAACTACAAATGTAATTTACGGCAAATCTGGAATGTTGAAAGCTACTCTCTTTCAAATACTACATTCAAGACTTAGAAACTTTTTTTTCAAGACTGTCTCACCATAATCTCTGAAAAACATCTCCCTAATGTAGCCCTTCTCACTATCTGACTGTAAGAACTAAAAAACTGACATTTCATTTTCTTGAAAGCACAATACTAACTAGAAAAAAGCCAATACTGCTTTTTGAGAATGATACGAATTGGTCTTCACCAAACATTTCTTATGCTTTTAATGACTGAAAGGATATTTTATGGTTTTAATAAATTTATAACCTTGATGAAAACTCAGGACTCCGCTTTCAAATCTCTACCCAGACATTTTTGTGTGAATGTGATGTTCATGTGAAAGAATAAGTGTTTATCCTAGAGAAGTAGCTGACGAAGAATCAGTGGCTCCTGCAGAGGAGCAGGTGTGTGAGCTGCCCATGACCCGTGGGCAGAGCCGCAGTCCTGGGGCACTCTGTTCAGCTGATGCCCTGCGTGCTGCTTTCCGTCCAGAGCACTTTATTTCAAGAGGGCTGCTGACAGACTAAATGGAACTAGAAGGAAGGTGATTTTGAAACTACATCATATCGAGCGAAAGTAAAAGTACTATAGATATGTTTTTAAATCCTCACCCAAGGATATATTTATTGATGTGAGAGAGAAAAACATTGACTGGTTGCCTCCCATACACACCCCAACCAGGGACTGAACCTGCAGTCCTTCTGGACTACGGGACAATGCTCCAACCGAGTGACCTGGCCAAGGCAGTATTGAAGATATTTTAAAAGAATGAACTGAAAGGGCATTTAAACTTCAATTATGTGAAAGATGCTACATAGGTTCCAAGAAGTTCTGTGTGGTTTTATGTAGTCCCAAGAAGTACAACTGAGACCCACAGATACAAATTATAGGGAGCAAAGGTTTCGGCTCAATGTAAAAAATAATCTAAGAGTTGCAGCTGCCCAAAACAAACCAGAATGCCTGAAGGGATTTCAGCACAGATTGAATATCCCCTTTTTGAAAATGCAGAAGGGCTTCCAGCACTGGAAGGGTAGTTGAATAATGGCCCCTAAGATCTTTTTAAAACCTAAGGTCTATGATTTCAGGTTCAATTCTATGCCACTTTGTTAAATATCATTGGACCGCTATTGACTTGCTTTACCAATAAAACCGATATCTAAAAAAATTTAATTTAAAGTGTTTGAAATTTAAAATCTCAAAACAAGAAACCTAGGAAATTTTTAGAGATGATTTTTAACTTACCATTTCATTGAATGTCGGGTTCCTAGTTTTTCTCGAAACTTTGGTTTTACGTTTGGATGTTTTGTGGGGATCTGGAAGTAGGTATGTTTTGACGTATGGATTTGGGTCAGCCCCATCTTCAGTGACCTGTAAAGAAAAACAGCCCCTTAACGGTGATGCTCCCTACCAAGGCGTGGGTTTTCTCTGCAATCGCCATTATCTGTAGCCACTCACAAGGTCTTTGATGTGCATCACCATGATGAACAGAGTGCCATTTCGGTAAGAGACAGAGAGTTTCACCGATCCTCCTATTTGGCCTGGAGTAGGACTGAAGGGACCTGCATGTAAAAAATAAATATGCTCGTCTTTATTTTATCTTGCTTGCAGTGATTCAAACTACAATAAGAAGAGTTTGCTTTAATTCCAGGACCACCACATGCGCAGTAAAAAAGGGTAAAGAGCCCTGGTTGGTGTGGCTCAGTGGTTGAGTGCCAGTCTGTGAATCAAAAAGTCACCTATTCAATTCCTGGTCTAGGGCACGTGCCTGGGTTATGGGCGAGGTCCCCAGCAGGGAGCGTGGGAGAGGCAACTATACATTGATGTTTCTCTCCCTCTCTTTCTCTTTTCCTTCCCCTCTCTAGAAAATAAATAAAAAATTTAAAGAAAGGGTAAAGAACCTGGTTGGCCACTGGATATATACTTCTTTAGTAATCACATTCTATCAGGAAAATTATGTTTATCTAGAAATAGACCAGCTTAGAAAGAACACGTCCTCTCATCTCAGTGAACCACAGCCAGTGGCCCCGCTGTAACCCTACAACATCCACTGAGAAGCTCCAGACTTGCAGGCCACGCAGAAGCCATGAACAATCAGTGAAGAGAAAAAAATATCTCACCTGCAGATCTAGCTATTCCTTCAGCTTTCTCATCACGAAGTAAAGGGTGAAAAAAAGTACAAACAAGATCACACTAAGATAGAAGAGGAAAAAGATCCATTAGTTTAAATATTATATAGCACAAAACACAGTATATTATTTTTTGAAGAAGACAGTCACCTCTGCTACATCCGCTGAAGCACTCATCAAACTCTGTAAATAGCTATTTAACTCAATTTTTCTTTTGGCTGCTACATCTTTTATGTGTGTTCTTCCTAGAACCATCCTATTAGGAAAGCTACAAAAGAAAAACAAGAACAAGTAGGATTTAAATGATTTCATCTGGAAGTTTTTATAGAATCAAGTACAATATTTTCTTAGAAACACATTTTTTATTATCTTAAATACAAACTAGAGTCCCAATGCACTACAAAGTACATTTTGTTATTTCTCTTCCAAGTAGCAGAGATGAAATAGTTCCAGTATCCACTATCCTTTCATGAAACCTGGTAAAAAAAAGGTGCATAGGTTTGCTAACTTGCTATAATTTTACTTATTTTTTACTTATTTTCTACTATCTCTTCTCAAGATTAATCATTCACAGATCTTACGGCAAGTCTCATCCACCAAAATAACCATTAATCAGCTATAGTTATTATAGATACCAGCACGATCCGAAAATGACATAGGGCCCAAATCAAGATAATCATAACTCTGCTTATTTTGGTGGCAGTGGAAAAATGAGAATGCACATGGAAATAAACTGACACTCACTCTGCTGCCTCTTTACTTCTCGTATCTAGTTTGAGAAGAACATGAGCAACCGGACACAAGAAATCTACTCCACGCCCGCTACATGTAGTCCACTGAAACCGAGGCTGTCCGGTGGGTATCAGATACAAAACTAAGCGCCAAGCTTCTGATTACCAATCTTAATGCCTCAGTTTTTTATTTTTGAGAGGAGTTCAGTATAATCATACTAGATTATTTCTGCAGTGATTTAAAATCTGAATTTTTAAAACCAAGATTCCAAAGTTTTTCTTGTGTTGCTTACTGTGGTAGAGACAACAAATTTAAAGCTTCACCTAAAATTAGGAAGCTGTGCAATCCCAACATTTAGGTTTAAGATTTTGATCATTTGTTCATTAACTCATTCATCAAACTTATATAAGTCTGTTATTGTCATAGGCCCCTGTGTTACACAAAGGCAGTCAGTCCCGTACGGTCCATAGTATCCTACTGAGTGTTAAGACAAAAATTTTGACCAAAACTTAGTAACAAATAAATTATTTCCTATAAAAAAGTATTAATGTGTACGAATAGGAACATACCCTGGTAACTTCCAAAGTGGAAAAATAATACTGAGCTTGTTGTGAAGTTCCTGAAACTCGTCAAATGTCCGGAACACAAATGATGGCTCAAGCTGTCCTTCCCTCAAAATTCGGACTACGTAAATCTAAAGAAATCACACCCACACACGTTAGATTCATAATAAGACCTTTCCTGACAAAAAATTTACAGCTCGACTGTTATATGTAATCTGAGTGCTTTTCACTTGGTAATATAGTCACCAACGGGAAAGAGCAAATATAAAACTCGTATTTATATCACATCTAACTACATTCTATGAGTGATCTTAACCACTGTATGATATAAAAACAAGAACTGGAACGTGAAAGTCATTTCACTTCCAGGACTAGATAAAAAAACATACTTCCCTAATGTATAAATATAGTGCATTTCCAATGAAAATATTAATCAGTAAGTTCATTTAAGAGAATAAATAAGAGGCAAAATTTATGGCAGCTGGGGCAGGACAGAACACTTCTTTGATACTTAAACTATTATAAAGTCAAAGTACTTTAAAGAGCAAAATACTGATGCAGAGCAGAGTCAGGTATATCTACAGAAGGAATAAACTCAGGGATGTGTAGAAACTTGTAAAGGTGGCATAATCAATCACTGGGGGAAAATAGACTGCTCCATAAAATGGTGTTAGGATAAAATGATCAGTAAACAAACAAAAATTTATTATTAAAATGAGTGAAAATATTTCAAAATAATAATAAAGTCACTTTCTAAAATGTATCAACTTGTCAAAAATGTAAAGACTCACAGTGCCACAAAGTATTATTCAACAAAAATATTAGCCCAGGACTGAAAAAGAACAGAAAAACTGATGACCATGCTGTACCATTGGGGGACGGGGAGAACGCTGAAGATCCTGTTTTTAAAGAACAGACTTTATATGTCTGTGTGTGTGCACATTACAATACTTCATCGTCCCTAGAGAGTAGATTAAGAACTTAGACTTTTGCCCTGGCTGGTGTGGCTCAGTGGATTGAATGCCAGACTGTGAAGCAAAGGGTCGCTGGTTGATTCCCAGTCCGGGAACATGCCTGGGTTGCCGGCCAGGTCCCCAGGAGAGGGCATGGGAGACGCAACCACATATTAATGTTTCTCTCCTTCTCTTTCTCCTTCCCTTCCCCTCTCTCTAAAAATAAATAAATAAAATTGTTAAAAAAAGAACTTAGACTTTCACTTTATCTGCTTCTCTATTTGTTGAATTTGTTACAATGAGCAAGCTTTACTTTTGAAATTAAGAACGAACTGAAGACAAGGAAGAAGAAAAAGCACTACCCTTTTTAGTCTTGTCTCTGAAAAGAAGAATATCATTTGTCTCTCATGGTTTTGGAGCAAATCTACCAAGAAATAAATACCAAAACACAATTAGGGATGCTCCAAGTACATTTGTTTATTTTTGGGCCACCCGCAGAAGAAAGAGGCGTGACAAGAACGAGTGCTTGAAACTGCAGCAGAGTCGGTGGAGGAAGCAGGAAAAGGCAACAGCAATGCAGGTGTGAGTCTCCAAAATCAAACCCAACTTACATAATGTTTATCCGGGTTGTATTTCTTATGATAAGTGAAAACAGAGACTTCCTTGATTCGGCCGTCTTGCTTAAAGGAGTATGTTCTTGGTGAAAATGAAAGGATGGGCTCATCATTGGAAGGAAGACCAGAAAAACGCAGCTGAGCAAGGTTGTGAATGAAGAAGTTAAACTTTGTGGCAATGCTTCCCAAACTTGATTCAATCAGCCTACAAAATAATTGGAAAATGCGTTAACAGTAAATGTCCATGAGAATACGTTCAATTATTTTAACAATAAAAGATGAAAATACTTTTATTACCTTAAAAATATTTAGCAGTTAAAAACCCGTTAAAATACATTCAACCCCAGAAAAAAATTTTAGCACAAGATTCTCTATTCCATCCCATCCCACTATCTCCAAAAAATAATGCTCTGATTTCCTGAGCCCTCTGGAGTCTAATATTAATTAAAAGCTTTCAGGGGTAGAAGATGATTTTGTTATTATATTCCCTTGTAATAAATGGGGGCAGAAACAACTAAACAGGTATAGAAGAAAGCCATCCAGAGTAATTAAAATTTAAAAAAATCTCTTCTATTAAATAGCAGAATAGTAGACCCTGGTATCAAAGTCCTTCAGATAATTATAACTTTCCTTAGTTGAAAAATAAGTTTTGACAGAACGGGGAATTTGGTGAGAATCAATTCGGAAGGGAGGCCTGGGTAAAACATTTTAGGCAAGCAAAAGAAATGAGAAGTTTCAGAAACAGGATAAAGGAATCCAGGAAATGAAAGGAGATTCAGAAAAAGAATGAGAGAACCTCACACAAAGATGCTTGTCTTTGCTATGGACCAAATGTTTGTCTCTCCCAAAATCATGTGCTGAAGCCCCAAGGGGCAGGGCCTTTATGGAGTTAGTAATTAAGGTTAAAAGTAGAGCCCTGATCCGATAGGATTAGTGTCCTTAAAAGAAGAGACAAGAACCCTGGCTGGCGTGGCTCCATGGATTGAGCACGGGCTATGAACCAAAGGGTTGCTGATTCAATTCCCAGTCAGGGCACATGCCTGGGTTGCAGGCCAGGTGCCCAATGGGGGCCTTGTGAGAGGCAACCACACACTGATGTTTCTCCCTCAACTCTCTTTCTCCCTTCCCCTCTCTCCAAAAATAAATAAATAATTTATTAAAAAAAGAGAGATGAGAAAGCTCATGATTTCTTGCTCCATCTCCCTGTTCCATGAGAGAAAACAGCGAGAAGGCAGTAGTCTGCAGCCTGCCCTCACCAGGAAGCAGACTGGCTAGCACTCTGACTTGGACTGCCCAGCCTCCAGGGCTATGAGAAAATAAATTTCTGTTGTTTAAACCACTTCATCTGTGGTATTTTGTTATGGCAGATCAAGCAGACTAACATATGCCTGCTTTACAGCCTTACCCAGAGGAGCCAAGGAATCTTTCAGAAAAAGCAGAACAAAGCCCAACAATACCTAAATTATCAGGATTAGTTTGAAAGGCTATACAGCAGTCGGCTTCCTTCAATGAAATCAGCCCAGACTCTGGAGACGAGGAAATCCAGCCCAGTGTTTCCTACAACTTCCCCACTGAGAGGAAGAAGGCAAGAGAAAAAGGAGAGAAAAGAGCAGGAGCTCACGAAACCCTCCCTGCTATGGCACTGCAATGAGGTGGCACCACGAGTCACTGACCACTCTGGTCACCAGACATTTAGAGCGTATTTGCCTTTACAGCAATGACAAGTTCAAATCCAATCCTTGGTATGTGTTTCAAGTACCACATCATATCATAACAACTTACTAGAGCAGTGCTGCAGTTTGCTGTTTTAATCACGTATATGTCCATGAAAATTTTTATAGCAGAACGCTCAAAAATAGATTAGGAAAAAAACCTTGTACTGGCACTGCAAAAGATATACTTCACAGAAATAGTTCATAAATAGGATTTTATCATCGAAATCATATACTAAATAAAATTGTATCATGAGAGAGAAATATATTTTTTTAAATTTTTTACAGATTTTATTTATTTTTAGAGAGAGAGGAAGGAAGAGAGACAGAGAGGGAGAGAAACATTGCTGTGGGGTTACCTCTCACATGCCCCCTACTGGGGACCTGGCCCACAACTCAGGCAGGTGCCTTGACTGGGAACTGAACCAGCAACCCTCTGGTTCACAGGCTGGCACTCAGTCCACTGAGCCACACCAGCCAGGGCTAAATTTATTTTCTTTCTTTCTTTTTTTTTTTTTTAATATTTTATTTATTTATTTGTGGAGAGAAGGGAAGGGAGGGAGAAAGAGAGGAAGAGAAACATCAACGTGCAGTTGCGTCTCGTCTAGCCCCTACTGGGAACCTGGCCTGCAACCCAGGCATGTGCCCTGAGTAAGAATCAAACCTGTGACCCTTTGGCTTTGCAGGTACACGTTCAATCCACTGAGCTACATCAGCCAGGACTAAATTTATTTTCTTTTTAATGTTGCAAATCCTTTATATTTATTCAGCAAATAAACTTTTGACAACCTACTATTTGCTAATACTCTGAATTAATTTTTTTCTTATAAATCAAAATTTGGATATATAGCATTTGTTTACACGAAGGAAAACAAATCAAAGCTAAACTGTATGTGCCTTCTCTAATACACTTCAGCACGCCTTACCTAGTAAAGAAAATTGTAGCTTCTGCATCCGTAGTTTGGGGTTGAAGGGCATCTCTAACATATTTCAAATCTTGAATGCTTGTAAGTTCTGGCAGCCCTGAGGGAATCATCTATAGAAAGAGAAAAAAAAAAGTTTATGAGTTAACTTTTTACAAAGGTCTGCTCCCCATCCTTCCCTAAAGCCTGTCTGGGTAATCAGAACTAAAATAAAAACAATCACAGTTTTGGGGAGTTTGTGTTTTAGAAACCTCAGTGATTCTCTATAAATGAAAAAAATCGAGGCAAGTGAAGTCAATCGTTGGAAGTTACAAAAGTCAGTTTATGGAATATAAGCTATAAAATCTATTTATTTTTGACCAGTACTCTTATTTTTAAAATACTAATTTCAGTCACAATAATCATAGTGGGTTTTTTTTTTGTTTTTACTTTTTATTTTATGCGCACCCAGAAGAGTACAGAAACCTTCCGTGTACAGCTTACTGAACGTACAGAATCTGAACACACGCAGGTTGATGCATCTGCCAACATCCCAGGTGACCTCAGTGTCCCTTCCAGTTGCTATCACTCCTCCCCTGTAGGGTAACCAGCCTTGTGACTGATTTTTTAATATTTTCTAAAAACGGTGTTAGTAACAATATATCTGACATTTGAGAATATAGTAAATTTTATTCCAAATTTACAAAATATCCTTTTTTCATTATTGAAACACAGAAGCATTCGTCTAAGATTAATTAAATGCTTGAAAAGAACAGAGTTACCAGTGAAAGGAGGTTAAGAAAGAGGTTGGTCTGCTTCCTTATCAGGTTGTAGGCCTGGCAGCACAGGTCCACAAATAACTGGAAACGAATGGTGGGCTTTTCACCCCCGTTGATGACATACGCCATGTCAGAGGTCAGCACAAAAGGAGCCCGATCCCTATTTAAAAGAAAAGTACATACAAAGTATTATTTATGGGAGATATTGAAATAGTGCAATTGCTATCACATGGTTACTGAACTAAACTACAGCAATTTCCATTTGGAAAACTGAGTATCAGACAGTTTTGAATTTGCATAATTCTTAAAAATTCACATTTTCACGGAAGTCATATTTAGATAGAACTTATACATGAACTTTTTCCCAAGGTAATAAGTATAAATCCACAGTCTCAAACAGAGATCAAACACAGTTACAATTATAAACATACAGAGAGAAAAACTTCGTACTTGTTGATATTATACAAATGGGGACACCTGCAGTTAGATACCACTAACTAGACAAAATACCCCTAGTTCACCTCAGCAAATATTACACACACACACTCATTCTTGTGGTAAGGTCATCTCTCAGGGTTTTTTCCATCCCCATTTATGCCCCAAAGTAGCTACCAGGCAAAGAACAGCAAAGAAAAGGAGGAGGTTTGGGAAATTAATTTTGTGAAATTGGAAGTGCCTCTCTTTTAACAACAATATCGGTACCTTTTGAAGCTACCAAACATCTGTGCATGGCCCAAGAACTTCCCAAAGTCGATGTGAAACATGTGTCCTGTGCTTCGAAGCATTATGTTATCATTGTGTCGATCACAGATGCCTAAAACATAGGTAGCCACACAACATCCAGCACAAGAGTAGATAAAATTCTCAGAAGCCTGCAATAAAGACATAAAATTATTTTGGGAAAAGAATTATTTTCTAAATGGGGCAAGATTATAAAGATTAACGTAGTTCATCACTCTCTGAAATCACTATTGCAATCCACTTTCTAAACAACTGATAAGTTGGATTATGGTAACAAGCCAGCCCTTTCACAATTCAGAAACAAAAACACCCTTCTAAAAGACAGTTACATTGCCCCTTCTCTCCAGCTTTCTCCTTTAATAAGCAGAGATGCCGCCAAGCCCTATGTGGGGTGTGTACTGCCTTTGAGTGTCTGTAAGCATCATGTTTGTGGAGCTCTGCTGTTTACCACAAGTGGTTACAATGAGACAAAGATGAGTCTGAATAAATAAATATTATTGTTTTAGTTTTTGACTTGTAGGGAGGGCATGTGCACAGAAAATCAGCTTGTATTTTAAAACATCCAATACTAAAATGAATGTATTTTGTTGCTAATTTGGTAACTCCTATGTGTCATCTGTTAAATGTCTCAAAGCTGGAGACATTAGTCCTGCCTGTTCTGGGATTAAGTTACTAACATAGTATTGTACAGAAGGACACAGTAAAATGCATACGATGAAAATTTTTATCTAAAACATGTGCATTTAGTTTATTCTCAAGATACTACACTTCTGAATGAAGCAGTCTTATGGTTCTATTTATTCCATATGGCTCCTTTTACTCCATAAGCCCCCAGAAATCATTACTGATGTTGATGACATAGCAAATGTTTGGCCCTGGCCAAGTAGCTCAGTTGGTTAGATCGTCATGCCCAAAGGCCAAGGTTGCAGGTTTGATTCCCAGTCAGGGCACATACAACAATCAACCAATGAATGCATAAATGAATGAAACAACAAATCGACATTTCTCTCCTTTTCTCTCACAAAAAGGAAAAACAATAAACAAATTTTAAATATATCTTAAAAAATATTTACATAGCACTTATCAAAACCCAGGTACTGCACTGCTCTCTCTCTGTTCCTCTCCCCCTCACGCACTCGTGGTATAGGCATGTGTATGCATATGTTGTATGTCTGGATGGATGGATATATATATTAACTCATTTAAAATCTCATAACAAATCAGTGACAGAGGTACTATTATTGTTATTTACATATGAAACTGAAACACAGAGAGGTTATCTGCCCAAGATCACATAATTGTTAAGAGACAGAGCCAAGACTCAAACCAAGGCAGTGTGACTTCTCTGTATTACATTCCCCACATACAAAAGCCAAATGCATGACAGGCCATCTCCATTACTTCATTATCATTTGGTGTCAAACAGCTTACCCAGAATCACAAAAAAGCCAGCACTACTATAAACAAGTATTGGCTTCTGCTGCATCGCTTTCCCCAAACCACAAAATAAGAAAAGGAAGTGTTTTTAAGCATTTTAAAAGACCAAGGAAATTCCTCTACTTTACTTTCATAGGTCAACAGGTGGCATTTGCACATACCCACATGCAAATGTGATACATTAATGATTTGGCATAAACCAAGCAGGCAAATGACAATGAAACTGGGATCTCTTAGACCACCATTGAAAGTATTCTGAGTTTTCCTTAGGCCAATTTCAGATCATTACAGGTCTTATGTCCTAGAGATTTCCTTTTCCTCTTGTGTAATACAAAAGTATTCTAAAACAAAAAAGTGATGCCTCCAATAATAACAACAGGTACCAATTATAGAATTTACTATAATTTCTTCTCTCTCACACATTAATATACATTAATACATAATTAATATCATATATTGTTTGTGTGGTATGTATCATATTATATATTACAATATATTATACATTAACATAATATACAATCAACATAGTATATTGATCACATTATTGATTGTATTAATGTTAATTAATATATAATTAATATTATATATTAATTACTGTTATATATAATTATAATAAGTAAATATATGAATTCACTTCTCACTATAACCTACAATACTACTTTTTACAGCCATAATATATACTGTAATACCATAAAAATATAACTCTAACATTTTCTAACAGACGTCACTGAGGAACAAAGAAGTTAACTTGCCCGAGGCTGTATAGCTGGTGAGGGCCTTTGGACCTGAATTCAAGCCCAGAAACTCTGGCCCATAGTCTTTGCTCTTAACTACCACACGACATAGCCACTGTACTTATTTCCTTAACTTTTTCCAAGGCCTTTGTGAAATATAACATTCTGGGTTATAAAAATACCAGTTTTGCTGGCCTCTAAATACATGCTTGGAAATTTTTTTTTGTAATTTGACATTGGTTTCACTTAGATTCCTGCCATTAAGTGCACTCTGCTTTTACATTCTTTCCTTTACTTGGAGAAATAAACTGCTTTCACGACTTAAGACTAAACAGCTGAAACAGAGCTGGAAAATAAAAGCACTGAAGATCTATGTAACACGTTTTTAACCAAGTTCCTTAGAATAAGGACACATGCTAATCACCTTCTCATATTCCTCCTCAGAAGGGTTGTACTTCCTCAGCCAGTCTGCAAGTGGTTTATCTTTAAAGGACCCGGTCACGCCATATTCCACTTGGATTTTCCTCAGCGTATCTGAAGCGGGAACTAGCTCCACCATCCCTTTAACAACAAAATATTAAGCTATGTGCAAATAACTTCCAAAAACAAGCCTTTAAAAAAATGTGTAGCTTTCAAGCTTTGACATAAGACACCAGCTAGCAATTATCAGTTTTTAACAAATCAATGCTGGCATCTCATGCTAGAAAATGTGAGCAATCAAAATATTTTTTATTTTTGGAAGATCCACAATGTAAAAGTTAATTTAACCATTTGAGACTCTATAGTCTGCACATCCATGTGCTATCCATCCCCCAAATAACAATTTTAATTACAAAGTAGATAATATGATATGACCTCCCTAATAACTACTTATAGGGTACATGCTATCCCACAGTATTTTCTCACAACACTTTCACAAATACTTTTTCTAGTCATGTTTTTTGTTGAAGAGTGTTTCAGAGTACATTAAGCCCTTTCAAAGGGAAGAACATGTTAAGATTGTTCTTGTCATATGCTTAAGTCTCATGTGAGTGTTTTTTCTTCCTACTGAAATATATATGTTGGGCTGGGCAAATAATTTTTTTTGCTCTATTTATAGTTCCCTTAAAATGAATATCAAACAAATAAATTATGGGACATCTATACAACGTAATAAAATGAGATAGATCTCTATGTGTTTATATAGCAAGACCTCAAAAATATGTTTTTAAACACAAAATCCGGGTGCAGAGTTGTACATTTGGTGTTTTAAAAAAAGACTATTATGTCCTGGCTGGTGGGTTCAGTGGTCTGAGCGCCCACCTGCAAATCTACACTGGATTGATTCCCAGTCAGGGCACGTGCCTGGGTTGTGGGCCAGGTTCCCAGACGGGGACACACAAGAGGCAACTGACTGATGTTTCCCTCCCTCTCTTTCTCCCTCCCTTCCCTCCATCTAAATAAAAGTAAATAAATTTTTAAAAGACTATTATTATATATGTTGGAATATACACAAAATATTCCCAGAAGGCTATGTGAGTGATTATATTTTGCAAGCAGGGTGACTTAGGATTAAGGATGGAGGTGTAGGAGCAAACTAAGATTTACTTTTCAATTACATGCTATACAGACATTTTACAAGGTACATATATTATTTATATAATTTAAAAGTTAGCTTTGTGTTTTTTAAAAATCAAGGAAACGCACTGGCATCAAAATAAGATATGGATACAGAGACCTGCTTTGGACAGAGAACTGGAAGAAACCAAGCAAGCCAAGGCCTCCAGGCCGTCCCCAAAGGAAGTGCACAGGCCTAGGTTGTAATCCTAGTCATCTGGTCACTTGTGGCAGAATGAATTCAATCGGATCTTTTCTGTTGTTTTGGTTGCGTCATCTGATTTATATTTCGAGGTGACATCCTTTTGTAACGAGTACCTGCATCTTGACTCTATGATTATATTTAATCAAACTGTTACATATATGTAAATTTCTAATTTCATAATCAAACATACATATGTATAAATTACTCAGGATCACAACAGGTCATCATGAAGAAGGACTGGACTTAACTCTGACAGCCTATGAAGAGAACTGGAACTGATGGTTAGAAGAAACCAGAAGTCAGTTGCCATTCACTTGGATACAAGAAAGAATTCTACAGCCATGAGAATCCGGGACATCATGGACTACCTTGGAATAAAGCGAATGCCCTTCACTATAAGCATTAAAGCGTAAATCAAATGACAAATGTTACAAGGATGATTAGATAAGATAATCTTCTGGGTGACTTCCTACTGTCTATGATTATAATCTAGAAAGCATTTCTCATCTTTACTAACCATAGGTGATCTTTCTGTCCTGTAAAACCCACGGCATTGCCACTGTAGTTATTCTTAGAGCTGCTGGCTCACTAAAGCATTTTCTAATTATTTACATATGTCTTCAATTGCTTCTCTCTACAATATAAGCACTATATGCTATTAGCATTCTACAGATGGTAGGTACACAACAAACATTTGTTGAGTAACAATAATGGTTGTGATTCACGAGTGGCTAATGTGGATCAGACACTAGGGTGTTTTACATTTATTATCTCATTCAATTATCACAATGTTTCTGTGAGTATAGTACCGTTATTATTCACATTTAACATGTGGAAATGAAAAAGTCTTTGCTAGGTCAACAGTGGACACCTCTGGTTACTGCAAAGCACTTATCAAGGGCTACTCACTGAGTTATTTAATCATGAGCAAATGAATCAGTAAAGTAACACTAAGTTAAAAGAGGAAATAACTGAGATCACAGTGTGCCAGCATCAGGATCCTACAGCAGTCATACTCTGAGCTAAGCTCACAAAAAATACAAATAAAAATAAGACACCAAGACACGGCTAACAAGGTTACCTCTATCTCTGCCAGTTGAGAGACATTTGAAAATCACCATCCTCAGATCTAGTCCTTCTTTAAGCCATATTTTGTCCATTATCTTTATCATCTGTAAAGCTAACATATCTTGCCGAAGATCTTCACCAACCTGAAATCGACAAAACGAAATGAAACTTGCACCCTCCCCAAACACTGTGCAGATCATACGCCATAAAGCAGGGAAGGGGAACAGTCTGCGTGAAAGGCTCTGCCTGGAGTTAGGATGTGCTCAACCAGCACGGAAGCAAGTCCAGCCCAGAGTTACATTTATTCCCAAATCTGTTTGGGAACAGTGTATGCCAGTGATAATACTTCCCATAATTATTCAATTTAATTAAATATTGAATAAAATTACATTTGCATTTTTGGAAAAAAATTGAAGAAAGAATTTCTAAATTACCATTTAAAAGCAAAATAATCTTATTTTGCTCACCTTAAACATGACGTTAATTTCTTCCCCCATTGGATCGGCATTGACCATTGTGACCTTCAGGGGCACAGCATTAGAACTGAAGAAGGAACATGACTACAAAGAGAACACATCAAGTATCAGAAAGAGAACACTGAAATTAAAATGCGTTTAATTTTTTTTTGTCCTAAGCATTCTTCCTTTGACTTGCTTCTCTAAATTATGGCAAATGGAGTAACACAGGAAAGCTGTTTTTTAGATTATCTGGCAGATAAAAGGTATACAAACATACTTTCTGAAACTTAAACATAGCATACGAGTAAAATATCATCTACTATTTGAGCAGTGAAGCAAAAACTTAAAAACTTGAGAAAAAAACTATTAAAAGTTTGAGCTTTAAGTATCATAATTCAACAGAGCACAAAAATTTTGTATACTCGTATCTTTCCTCTAAATCAGTGTAATCTGGGATGAGATCTCTACTTCTCTGATTTATAGTACTATTATAATTAATAATTAGCCATGCAATCAAATAGCAACACTAAATTTAACAAATTAGCAAAGATTCAATTAACAATTATAATCTTATTTTAAGTGAAAGTGGTTAAAAAACTAATTGAAGACTGTGAGACTAACTTAAAGGTAAACAACAAACCAAAGAAAATACGATCACTCTGCCCGCCAATGACATACGCATACAAGTTGGGCCTCCACGGCTAAATTCCAGGAAGAGCAACTGTGTCAACTTAAAAAAAAAAACAAATCTGAAACTCCATTATGAACAGCTATATCCTGGCCTTTTAAAACCACAAACTCAAGTGGATGAATTAATTGGTTGCTTTTTTTGCTGAACTCATGATAGAGAAAAATCCCTATCTGTATCACTATTAGTCCAGTTCAAAATAAAATTACACAATTTTGATGATCACTCACTAGGTTCTGAGTGCTCTAAAAAGTGCTATAAGCCCCGACTGGTGTGGCTCAGTGGATTGAGTGCTGGCCTGAGAACCAAAGGGTTGCTGGTTTGATTACCAGTTGGGCCACATGCCTGGGTTGCCAGCCAGGTCCCCGGTGGTGGGGTGGGGGCATGTGAGAGGCAACTGCACATTGATGTTTCTCTCCTTCTCTTTCTCCCTCCTCTCCCTTCTCTCTAAAAATAAATAAAACCTTAAAAAAAAGTGCTATAAACCCAGGAAGAGTTTACCTGACTACTCACAGGGAAAGGAGAAGTGTCTATGTGTGGGTAGTTTTACCACCAGAATTAAGAACACATGCCTCTCATGTAACTATTTACACCACAGTGAAGTCTAATTTAATTTGAGGTAGTAATTTTACAGTTTTTTCTTTCAGGAATGGTGATTAGTGACAATGTACTAAGATAAATACGGGCCTTTATACCACAGACATCTATGAATACTCGTAAGCAACTTAGGGAGGTTTGATCCTCATTTGCTTTAAGCCTGCCTGCCCACTTCCCTTCTTCTTGCACATTATTTTAAAATATGAACTTATTAAGTATTTATGTGTCACCTTAATGTTTAATTCTTTTGCCACAAGACTTGGACTAAGAGGGAGACGACATTCATTTCTCAGAAAGAAGGACTGAACCCGTTCCATACCCCTCTGCAGAACAACCTGGGAAGAGAGAAGGGTGCGGTGAGTATGTAACGGAGACGAATACGTATTTTTAAGACAACGAAATCATGATGTGGACCTAATTTATTAAATGCCCAATTGTCAGATGTTGCCTTTAATTTTTACTATAAAAATAAAATTAGGAGACTTCCGCCAAGATGGAGGATTAAGGTGGATGTGCCTGCCTCCTCTCACAACCAAGTTTAAGGACAACTAAATATTAGCATCAGAAAACACAACCAGAACACGGAAAACTGAACTTTTCGGAAGTCCGCAAACAACAAATTCTTCGGCCCAGCCGGTAAGGGGCGAAACCGGCGGCGGGTGAGGACTTACAAAGGAGAACTCGATCGACCCGGGCGCGGAATCCAGATGCGCGACTTTTCGGAAGTCCGCAAACAACAAATTCTTCGGCCCGGCCGGTAAGGGGCGAAACCGGCGGCGGGTGAGGAGTTACAAAGGAGAACTTGATCGCCCGGGCGCGGAATCCAGTCGCGCGAATCCAGTCGCACGGGTTCCAAACCCAGGATTGGACCTAGTGAGCAGCCCACCGGGTGAGCGACTACGGAGGAGTCAGTGGGGAGGCGGTGGCAGCGAGTTGACTGTGGGTGCCCGGTTACGCGCGGGTGAGGGAGTGAGCGGGGGGACCGGCGGCGGCGGCGCCATTTTCCCCACTCTGACCACGCCCCCACATACAGCGTCACAACCCAGCGACCTGGGACTCCAAGGCACTGCGTCTCTCACTTAAAGGGCCAGAACAGACCAAAAATGTCGCAGGGGGACCTCAAAGTCCCGGAGATAAATCTAAGTGACGAAGAAATAGCAAATCTCTCAGACGCACAGTTTAAAACACTGGTCGTCAGCTTCCTCACAGATCTGGTGGACTATAGCCACAAATTAGAGAAACATATGAAGGCTAAATTAAGGGAAATGAATGGAATTCCACAGGAAACCCATAGAGATGAAAAAAAAACTGGGACTCAACTCAATGGAGTGAACCAGAAGGAAGAAAAAAATGATCAATCAGAAAGGAATGAAGAAATAAGAATTCAGAAAAATGAGGAGAAGCTTAGGAACTTCCAGGACATCTATAAACGCTCCAATATCCGAATTATAGGGGTACCAGAAGGGGGAAAGACACAACCACCAGTGGAAAAACTATTTGAACAAATAATAAAAGAAAATTTCCCCAATCTGGCAAAGGAAACAGACTTCCAAGAAATCCAAGAAGCCCAGAGAGTACCAAAAAAGTTGGACTCAAGAAGGAACACACCAAGGCATATCATAATTACATTAGCCAAAATTAAAACGAAGGAGAGAATCCTGGAAGCAGCAAGAGCTAAGGGGACAATCACCTACAAAGGAGTCCCCATCAGGCTGTCAGCAGATTTCTCAAAAGAGACCTTACAGGCAAGAAGGGGCTGGAAAGAAATATTCCAAGTCATGAAATCTAAAGACCTACAACCAAGATTGCTCTACCCAGCAAAACTTTTATTTAGAACGGAAGGACAGATAAAGTGCTTCTCAGATAAGACCAAATTCAAGGAGTTCATCATCACCAAGCCCTTATTATATGAAATGTTAAAGGGACTTATCTAAGAAAAAGAAGTTAAAGAAACATGAACAGTGAAAGGACAACAAGCTCACAGTTATCAACAACCACACCTAAAACGAAAGCAAACTAAAAGGACAGCTAGATCAGGAGTGGAAACATAGAAATGAAGATCTCAAGGAGGGTTAGCAACAGGGGAGTGGGAGGAGAAGACGGGGAGAGAAGGTACAGAAAACAAGTAGCATAGACAGTAGATAGAAAATAGATGGGGGGGGGGCAAGAATAGTATGGGAAATACAGAACCTAAAGGACTTGAGACACATGGACATAAGCTAAAGGGGGGGGTAATGGGGGGGTTAGGGGGGCAGGGAGGAGGGGAATGAAGGGGGGAATAGAACAACTGTAACAGCATAAACAATTCAAAAAAAATAAATAAATTTATTTAATAAAAAAAAAATTTTCAAAAAAAAATAAATAAAAAATAAAAATAAAATTAGAATAGGCAAAGGCTATAAACATGGGAGGGGACAGTATATGCATGTTCATATTTAACATTTGTTAAAACTCACATTCAAATAAACAGAAATTGAATAAAAAGTAGGTATAACTTCATCAGTGAAAAATCTAAGATAATAATATCCAGTGCTGGCTACAGAGTGGGAAACAGATACTTTCATACCCTATTAGTAGGGAGAGGGATGTATACCAGTCCACATATAAATATATAATTTATTTTTTGGTAGAGCAATCTAATAGAAACTACTACAACTAAAAATGTACATAGTTCTTAACTATTCCACCTGTAGGAATATCCTACAAAGAAATGAGGGGCAAAAACGTACATACTGCAGTTCATTGCAGGACTGTTTGAGAAAAGAAAAATATGTAAACAATCTACATAGAGGTAATTAATGGTTCATCATTTATGCTACAATTACTTTGTAATATTATGTACCTATTAAGAAACATGAATTGTAACCATATATGTACTGACATGAATTCTCCAAGATGAAGTAAAAAAAAAATTTGCAAAAGAAAAGTGTATGTGTAAAACCATAAAAAATGACCAAGAAGGAAACACGGCAAACTATCCTATAAACTTCTTCATTATTTAGTTTTTTTGAACATTGGCATTTAGTCATAGTTTTATTATTTTTACAGTTACAAAAAGTTAAAAAACAAAATAATGAAAGAAACTCAACAGAAAAGAATTAATAAACATGGGAATTAAAGCACTGATTTTTCTGAGTTAGGTTGTGAAATCTGTCTCTAAAGATTTTAGGTAACCTTTAACTCATCTGTCCAAAACAGCATAGGTGTAGTGAGAATTCTATTGGCTATTTATTGACAAAGAATAATGACTTCACTTGTCAACACTATAAAGATCCTTTAATATCAGAATGTTTATGTTCCCTTTTATGGGTACATACCTGCCTGGCTGATCCACTAGCCTGCTTTACTTTTTCTGCTACTCCTCCCAAAAGCTGTACAAGTTTTGATTGCTTCAAGAGTTCTTCTCTGAGCCCTTTTCCTCCCACTGACAGGAGAGCCCCCAAAACGTGTTCATATCGCGCGCCGAACTGTGCGTCATGCAGGGCATCCTTGAGGAGCCTAACAGAGCAAAATATTTGTTAGCCTCTTCTGCAAACTGGATGCGCATCTCCCCAAAATCAATTTTACAAGTTTAATTTTAGGTCTCCAGAAATTTACTTTAAGTCATATAGGCAAGTAAAAATTCATTCATTATTATAAAGCCCTAACATGCCAAATAGAGAGTTTTGTTATTTTTTGTTTTATTTCTAAAGACGTAAAAATTTAATTTCTTAAAAATAATGCCTTTATAAAACATCTGGTATCCACAATAAGTGGTCTGGGTATACCATTTAGACTTTCAGAGTATGTCATCTGTGTAAATACTAGGAATAAAAATAAAGTACTAAAGAAAATTTAAATCTTACCAATATAAATTGTGCGCTATCTGTATATTTCCCAATGCCCTGGACAGAAGGAAGCGTACCAATGAACTGTTCAAATAAATTTCATATTTCAAAGCCTACACATAAAAAAAATAAAGAATTACTAGTGGTCAAACCCATACTACACTGTTAGGATAAAATTATCAAAAAAAGAAATTATATAAAGCTCACTCCTGTTGATGAAAGATGATACTGATAAAAATGAAACACATAAATTAACTTAGACTAAATTAATGAAATCAAGCAGGAAAGCACAGACCTGGAAATAACATTCATTAGCTATGTTTAAATGGCCAGTAAAGGAAAATAAAACCTCAAGTCTGATTTATTCTGAGAATCTAAAAAGTCAAAGAATTAAAAATTCAGATCTATAGCTACACACACACACACACACACACACACACACACACACACGAGTTCTGTCCAGAAAAAAGTCCAACCATTGTTAATGTAACAAGAACGGTTTGCACGACATTGATGTAACACGGTAGCATGGAGAGTGGACTGGAATGTGCATGTGTGAACAATGATGATTGCACTGTACTAGTCAGTGGGGGCGGTAGACACCCTTGAGTGAGCATGTGGGCTGTGAGGCTGTTGCATTCCAAATGACTAAATGAGTACAGCAACAAATCTGCATCAAATCTTATGTTAAGCCTGAACAATCCTCTGCAGAAAGTATTCGGATGGTTCAGATGGCTGCAGCTGTGGGCATGTGGTAACTGCAGCTTCATCACAACAATGCACCCGCTCGTGCATCACGTCTCACCTGTACAAACTGTGGAAGAAGATCTGTCAGCTCATCATCACTAAGAGCTTCGATCCAGGTCACAGCTTGGGACCTCACTTCCTGATCAGCAAATCTAGAAAAGTATCACAATACTTAAGATTGGATGGTGACTTCTTTCTAATGAAACTATATTTCCTGAAAACATAATCTAACTCTGTTCCTAACAATGAACGCTCATATAGCTATTTATTCAAATGCAATGTTGTCATCTTCGTTTTTAGGAATAAAATCCTCCTGTGCTGTACAAATTCTGGTAGGGGACTGGTTTAGAAATCTTAAGCTTATGAAAATTAATTTTGGCCCACATCATAAAAATATAACAATTATTCAAAATTTAAAACCTACTTCCATCTTTAGGTTAATTTTCAATATCACATGTCCTTTTAATAACCTCAACGAAAAGGTATATTAGTAAAAAGATACATTTACACATTTATATTGCATCGAACTGCTTTCATGTTAAAGCAAAGGGAAGTACTCCTGCAATATAATACCTTACTGGAAAAAATTCACAACAATAAAAAGAGCAAATAAACTCCATCTTAATCGACTTACTTTGAATCAAGAAGCTCCAATGCAGTCAGTGCGTCTAATGGAGGCCACTGGTGAAGCAATGAGTAGATTTTGGCAAGATTAACCCATTTCCAGTTTGGGGCACTTGCTAGTATTTTAGGAAGACAATTTGTGTGTTTGAGGCAGTAATAACGTTTTTCCCACAAAAAGGCTTTGTCTTCTTTAGAAAGTCTGCACACATAACAGGAACTAAATTACTTCTCAATGATATCATAATAACAGTTATAGTCTCAATGATTAAAAATACAAAGAAAAAATGCATTCATTTTAGGACAGCCACTTGTTGGTAGAATCACTAATACTAATTTGGAACAGAAAAATGCAATGTACAGCAAACACCACTAATTTACCCTAATTTGGGGAATAGAAAGAAATCATTTTGCCTTGATAAAAGTCTTAGTTATGAAAATGAAGGATAATTCACTACAATAAAAATTTATTGAGCTCTAACCAGATGCTAGACACCAGAATCAGAGTTGAATAAGCAAAATCCACCCTAAGAGCAAGGATTTTATTCATTTTACACAAGTAAAATCAAATGTTATGTAATGCACAATTGCTATTACAAAATTTTGGAAGATTATTTATATAGCTCAATTGAGTATATTTAAAAAGAAAAGAACTTGTTTTGGAGATTCTAATTTAGTCTTAACGAGAAATGCTTATGTGAATGAAAGATGTCACTATTTTACTACCCACCCATCTACTGCTGTATATGTAAAACACACACTGAAATGTGTTCCTCTCATGTGGAATGCTGAAAAAATTCAAATACTGAAAAAAGTGCACAGTGAGGTCCCTATTCTTCTAATTCCCCTGCCAGAGGCAACAGCCTGTGCTCGTTTATTCCTCCAGAGTCCATCTGCATAGAAGCACATACACAGACACGTGTGCATCTTTTTCCTTTAGTGGGGACACACTAATACGCTATTCTGCTCCCTGCTTTCTTCACTTAACACATCTGACATACTGTTACATAGCTATAACTTCATTTTTAATAGTTACATAGCACTCTGCTAGATAAATGTACATAATCTGACCCCCATAGATGGATATTCCGTATCGATTTTACAATAATCCAAACACATACTGCAATGAGTCTCCATAAGCAAATACAAAAGGGGCTCTTTCCTCTAAGACATGTAACAGCCTGGAAGTGGAATTGCTGGGTCAGACTATACACATTGTGACCTTTATAGATTTTGCAAAATTGTTCTCCAAAGCTTTTCAGAATTCCACCAACGATATAATCCTCCCTTTTCTGTATCCTCATCAACACTTTCTATGACAAAACATTCTAATTTTCAACAATCTGATGTTTATGAAATGGTACCTTGTATCAATTTACACTTCCTTAATGACTGAGAGGTTAACATCTTTTCATATGTTTGAAAGACAATGTATTTATTTTCCAAAGAATTATGTATTATTCTTTGTCCAATTTACTACTGAGTAAATTAGACAAAGTAAATGAGTAAATGTTGGTTTTTCTACCGATAAGGAAAGTTTCTTTGCACCTTAAGGAAATTATCTGTTGCTATTTATTGCACATATAGTTCCCTTTTGATCATGTAAAAACCTGGACCTGTACAAATTTCTGAACTTTCATGTAGTCTTTATATATATTTAAAAGATATATAAAACTTTTCACACCAAGAACATTGCTAAATCATGAACTAAATTGGGGTATTTAATAAACCATTAATTTGAGCTTCACATTGTAAGAGGTAAGTAGGCAAAACAGAATCAAAGGAGCATACCCAAGTGATGAGTCTTTGTGGAGAATACGGAGAAGTTTCCCTTTTATATCGTTTTCCAATGTTTCCAAGTTGTATTGTTGTGCAACACTTCTGTCAACTTGAGGAGTGGTGTAAACAATATCGAATGTGGGAGAAGGAAAATCAACCTTAAAAATTTAACAAAAGTTGATCAAATTATAGCTGAACAGGCCATATATTGTCCACATTAACTTCTTTCTCTTTGAGAACCTTGATTTTTTCTTAGCCACCAGGGTGAATTTTAGATTGTATATTAAATTAATGTCCTTTTGCTGAAAGTGATTACATTAATGGTAATTCTCAATAGCACATACATTGCTGGGGATGGGTACAAAGGCATATTTTACTGTTTCTCAGAAATAGGAAATGGTTCATTGGCATTTAAATTGAAAATAGACCCTAAAATTGAAACGAGATTGATTACGCCTCTTTAATAACAACCCAAATTATGGTATACACATACTTTTTTTATAAAGAAATTTTCATTTAAGCCTCCCCAGGTGTCAAGAAGTACCTTTACCTGTAACACTATTCTTTCCATCACATATCCTTTTTTGGGGTTTGTTCCAGGAATAGAGGTTATATGTGACGAAGTCCAAAGATATAGAAGCTTAGTTCCACATGTTAAAAACCTTCATAACGTAAAGAGAAAAATACTGCAGTTTTTATTTTAAAAATCAATCAAAACTTACAACACAGTAATGAATCTGAAACATTAGCATTCAAACATTTATGAAATATCTCCTTTATAAAAAGAATGTCATCTTTATCAGGAAGTCACTCTCCACAAAGTACTGGTCTTCAGGATAAATGGATTGAAGAGTGGGGGTTGGAACAAAGGAAGTGAGAAGGAGGGATCACAACAAAGGAGGAATGGGGTTGAGGACAGAACAGAACATGCCCTCCCAGAACAAAGTCTCGGTTATAGAGCTGCTCCCTGACTTTTACCGTAAGAACAAAAATACATGCCAAAAAAACAGAACCTGCTTTGTGAGATGATTATTTAAGAAGTTTTATCTGTGCCCTGGGCCAGGGGTCGGCAGACTCAACTCTAGTACTACAGTGCAAAGCAGCCATGAGCAACACAGGAATAAACTGTGTGCTGTAACTGACGAACCGCACTTGCAGAGCACAGGCCGCCACTGCAGTGTGCCAGCAGGTGCCCCGGGCAGCCGGTCCACGGCCTGCTCACTTCAAACACATCTACCAGTAAACGCACTGACGTAGCTTTACCCGGAAAAATTTCTGAAAACATGAGATATATGTAAAGGCAGAAAACTATAAACTTCATTAAACTTTGTTCATTTTATTAAAATAGCAAATATCCTTTCCAAAGCTAGACTCTAGTCCTACCATTTTTTCTTAAGGTTAACAGCCTTTAAATCTCTGACGCATTACAGTCTGTCTTTTTTAGAACCATTCTCACCCCCAAACCGATTATTTTTAAGGTAAATTCCTATCACATTTCATCTATAGATTACTTTTATATGTCTCAAAATGGTAAAGTTTTATTTTAAAATAAGTACAATGCCATTACCATTCCTAAAGTAATTATTTAAAATCACCACCTATCTAATCAATATTCAAATTTCCCAGATTGTCTCAAAAAAAAAAGTTTTTAGTTGGTTTGTTCATTAAGAATCCAAGCAAGGTCCAACATTTTCATTTGGTTAATAAGTCTTTTAAGTATCTTTAATTCAAGGGTCAACAAGACTCCAGCCTATTACCTGGTTTTGTAAATAAACTTCTGTTAAACGAAACCACACATTAATTTACAAACTACCAATCACTGCTTTGCCTTTTATGACAGAGACAACATGATCTGCAAAGCCTAAACTACTTCTGTCTGGTCCTCTTTACAAAGTTTGCCAGCTCTTATTTTTGTTGTTGTTTGTTTGTTTGTTTGTTTGTAACAGCAAGACAACTACTCTTTTTTTTTAATGATTTTATTTATTTACTTTTTTTAGAGACAGGGGAAGAGAGGGCGAAAGAGGTAAAGAAACATCGATGTGTGGCTGCCCCTCCTGTGCGTCCTATTAGGGACGTGGCCCAAGGCCTAACCAGCCGGCACTCAATCACTGAGCCACAGCAGTGAGGGAAGACAATTACTCTTGCAACACAAGTTATCAGGGGAGAGCGCAAACGCAGACCCCACTACCACAGACTATGCAGTTGAGTTTCCCACATTTGGGGAAATCACAGGGGTCAGCACAGGTGAAGTGCAATGGGTGAACCTCACCCTGGGAAAACCATCTTCCCAACCATGGTACATCACCAACTCTTGTTTTAATCTATACATTCTTCCTGTCTTTCCCCCCCTGCCATTTGTTGGAGAAGCCAATTCTTTTGTTCCGAGAATTCTCCTTACCCTGGATTTTACTTATTGCATCACTCTGGTCCCTCAGCATCCCTCTCTATCTCCTGTTTTCTGTAGTAAAGTAGTAGTGAGATCTGAAGACTTCATCTGATTTGGGTTTAGTTATCTGGCAAGAATAATTAATTACTACTTTTAGGGGGTATTGTATACTACTTTCTATGGCACTACATAAAGAGGCACACATTGTTTGCTTTATGTCTCTTTCTGAGGTGTGGACATAGTTTATTTAGCTACAGTCTAAACATCCATATTATAATAAAGTTCCAGACACAATAATTGCTTAATGGTTTTAAGCAGGTATTGGTAATCGCTATTTATCAACAGTTCTTAAACAGGTGATTTTGCCCCTAGTAGACATTTGGTGATGTCTGGAGACATTCTGGATTGGTAACTGGGGTGTTAGTGTCATCCAGCGGGCAGAAGGCAGGGACACGACCAGACACCCTACGAGGCACAGGACAGTCTCCCACAGCAAACCATTCTCCAGCCCAAAATATCAATAGCACCAAGACTGGGAAGCCCTGGCCTAACGCTGGCATAATCTAACACTGACATAAATTATTTCAGTAGGAGCTGCAAACTTGGAGTTCTACCATTCCATTGGCATCTATTAGCTGAAATTTTTCTATAAAATACTTTCTCACACCAATTATTTGGTAACCCTGAGCTGCACCTGTAAAGGAAAGGCAAGGTAAGTGCTTGATCCTGTTTATTGAAAAATGAGCCAAGAACTCATGGGTGACTGAGGCTGACTGCAGCGCCTCGGAGTCATCTGGGTCCACAGCAGTGGCTTCATCAGGCTGTATGCAAGTCGGAGCTTAACACAAATTATTTTAAAAGTAATTCAGGACCAGGATTTCTGATTACTATGTGATAGTACATCATTAACTGAATTAAATAATTAACACTTTGTTTCTCTATATGAATTAATGTAAAATCATCTGCCCTCTTAACACCTGAGTATTTTTTGAATGTTAAGTACTAACATTACCTAGATTAACTGCATTACTTGGCAGCGTCTCAAACTGAATGCCACCTGTTCACTGTTTTAACAGCACAGTGTTGGACACGAAATATTTAATTGTCTAAAATCACTTACTCTGTTGAATTCTGAAAAAATGTTAAGTCCTCCACCCAAAAAACAATTCTACCACTAATCGGCTCAGTGCCACAGTGCAAGTCACATAAGCTCTCTGTAACAAGTACAGGGCAGTAACAAACTTCACGGGGTCGCTGTGACGAATACAAGGATGTACACGGCACTCAGACTAATAACAACTGGCACACAGTAAATGCTATGGGTTTATTACAGAGTGATATGCTATTAAACACAATAGGCTCCTTGACTGCAAAACTTTAGAGATACTTTAACATGCTAATGTGCATTATCACTCTCAAAAATGTTACCATGTGTTGTATGAATCATATCCCAAGACTCTTGATGGTCTCATGGAACATATTGCTACTAAAAATATAACTAAACTTGTTGGCTAAAAGGTCAGACAGATTACCAGCTATTAGTAAACAAAAGCTTGAAAGGTATTTCTTTATTCCCAAGGATCATTAAGTTTTTGTACTCATGCAGAACCTTCGGCAATTAAAGGCCTGCGGCCCACAGCAGTAAGGACAGATGAATCAGGTAGCCAGGGAAAGAGAAGGGAATAATTTTCAGTTGCAGAGTCCCTAAAACTTGAAAAGTACGGGATAAGGATAAGAAGAGGAAAAATGGAGTTGTTTTAGTATTGTCAAGGGCACCTAAAAGACTAAGTATTATCTCAATAAAATAGTGCTTGAAGAAAATGAGTTTTATAAGTGAACTGATTGCTGCCTTTCTCCTGAAACAGAATGGCAAACGACCCTTCAACTACCCATATAGATATGTTCAAACTGTAGCAGAATAACTGGTTTCCTACGATCTGTGTCTCTGAAAACTTCCTTTTTATCACACTAAAAACAGTTAACACAGCTCATTACCTCATGTTTGTCGTCACTCCCTACACTGTTCTCTACCCTGTTTTAATGCTGCAGATATGTCCATAGACACTCACCATCACAACTCAGTAACACTTACCGTTTAAAATCAAAAAGAGGTAAAGAAACTTTGCCCAAAGCTTCTGGCCTCTTTCTCTGCTTATTAGAATCAGGGGAACTTCCACTGCTCTGATTTAAAATCCCAAAAAGAGTAAGGTGAAGAAGAGATTCTAATGGCAATTGTGATATCTGGATGGGGAAAATAATTCTATAAGGGAAAAAATGTATTAATAGAAAAAAACCAATTAGATAGAATATATTAACCCTTTAATGAAACAGACAGTTGTAGGTATTTTAATTGACCTATCAAATAATCTCTAATCCTGAGTAACTTTTACTTAAGTAGCAAGCTTGGCTAACATACACTGTAAAATATCTTAGACAAATTTTATTGAAATTTCAAATACATAACATTTCTTTAAAAATTTGTTAGTGCATTTACTCAAGATTTACAGTGCCTATTTCTAGGCAAAATAATAGTAGTAATTTTTATTTCCTTTAGGAAGAACCAGACATTTATGAGCATGAGTATTTTTGACTCGGGACATATGTGTGTGCTCATATATACACAGACATATGTACACATTTGCCAATGTTCCGCTTTAGGACGCACAAGGTCAGCAGGGGTTACTCTGAGGAGCCGTGCGTGAGATGGTTAAGTGTTAAAAAGAAAGTGACACTTTTTACCTGATATGCATTTCGTGTTATATGATTAGTTTCACAGACATGTATTATTTTCATAATTAAAAAAATAAAAGAATAGTATACCACTTACTAAATGCAGAATAAAAAAACATAAAGTTCTGCAATGTCCTATCTGCCTAAATAATGAAGCATTCCCTTACTGTAAGAATAGTATTTAAAAATACTAAACTAAGCAATGTTACAACATACTACCTTTCTACGATTATACATGCATTTATATATTTAACCTGACAAAGTCTATGAAGAATGGCATATTTCTGCAATTTAACAACATGTAGATTTAAAAGAGCATTTTAGGTTTTTTAAGTCAGAATTTCAGTCTGTTCTACAGCATCGTATCTAGAAGAGACCTAAAGATGTCAGTAAGGAATTAATGGATTTTAATGGGAACTGTAATAAAACTAAAAACCAGGATGCATACATGGAAAAGAGTTAACAAGGCATACTGAAAAAAATAAAAAGCTAGAACTTCACTTACAGCTCATCCCATTTAATAAGATAGAAGAAATTCTTATAGGTGCCAACCTTCTTTGATTGAATAGGCTTAAAAAGATCCTTTCCATTGTGAGACAGGGAACATATCAAGTAGTATTTTTCATAACTGAGAAAAGAAAGAGTTTAATTTTTATTTGATAATACAATTTAGTCAACTAACACAAATATATGTCATTAGCCACCCTTCCTAAAAGTGGCTATTATCTGAAATAATTGGGTTACCACTCATATGAACTTAAGGGAAAACACCCGACACTTAACTGCCGCTAATCCTGTGAAATGAAGAGACACAGCACAGGGAATGAGGAAGGGAACACGTCGCCCCTGGCTGCCAGTCTCCGGGGGTGAAATGATACCAGCTGGAGAATTCACCTAAATGTTATGTTCAGCTAGTACTAGCTTTAGATTTTAGTTGAATGACACTGAGTAATTATTCATTTTTAGGTAAATTCTAAGAGGAAAGAATACAAACGTTATCATCCCTAGGTGCTATTTTTCTTTGCTAAAGCCACTGAAAGTGGAGTCAGTGAAGCATACAGACAGTGCATCAGTCTGACTTGCACGGAGTCAGTGTTTATTAGGAGGGGACAGATGCTGTTATATTCTCATTAGACAGCAATAATTTAGCTCCAGTTGCCCTAGGCAAAGAGATGGTTAGGTACAATCAGGCACTCTTGTACAACAGAAGTCTTAGGTTCAGTAAAACTGCATTCTACTAGTATTCTAACTTACTGCTAGGTTTACACATTAATCACTTTGTTCATATATATAAATATACTATAAATATTGCTTTAAATCTAATGTCCCTGGTTCACAAACACCCCTAGCCAATGATTTAACCACTTTTCTCATTTATCCCTCTTTATTTAGGCATTTTACTAGTTTTATTTCCATCTTAATTATCACTGCAGTTTTCTGTATCATCTTCTAAGTATTTGTTCACCTTATTAGTGTCCCGAAATTTATTTCTGTGTATATGGAAGTACATGGGGGGTACTATCCCTGCAGCTTGCTAAAGGAATGAAACACCTTCAGACAGCAGTCGTACCCATTTAAACCCAAGTTCCAGGGGCAGGGTTTTGCTGCCTTTGCTTACTGCCGAATCCCTAGAGGCACAAAGAACACAGCCCACAGATGGTGCTCACTGAATATTTCTTGAATGAATTAATATACTACATTCAACTCATTTTGTTATTTTTTTGTATTTCACTTGTTTATTTTATATAAAGGTCAATTTAAGCAGAATTTACGTTTGATATCTTTTTACTGGACATTACCTTCTTTTATAGCATTAAGCTATTATTATAATACTACTTTAAAATATTCAACTCAGACTTTTCAGTTTATATTACTTACTTGCAAATAAGTTGAAGTTGGCAAACTTTATAGCAATAACAAAACAATCCAACAGGAAAAACCCATATTAAAAAATGTAGAAGAGTCTGGGGCGGCGCACTGGATTGAGCACAGGCCTGTAAACTGAAGGGCTGCCAATTGGATTCCCAGTCAGAGCACATGCCTAGGATGCAGGCCAGGTCCCCAGTGGCGGGCATTTGAGAGGCAACCACACACTGATCTTTCTCTCCCTCTCTTTTTCCCTACCCCCAAAATAAATAAAAGTGTAGAAGAAATCTGCTCTTGCACACTTGAAAGCCTAGCAAGCAGTAAACTATTGTACTAAAAGGGGGAGGAAAATGGGCTAATGTCTAGTTCCGTTATACTGGTTCTAAAGGAAAGCCAAAAGAGTAACAGTCATAAACTGACTAATTTATCAATCAACATTTGCCCTTTTAATTTTAAACATATTTTCCTGCCTTTTTCCCATGTAGTAGGAGTGGTATTTGTTACTGGAACAGCTTCAAAAATCTCTGTAATTTTTATGAAAACCACCAAGGTATCTGTGATTCTTTGTCATCCACTTAAATACCAAGATAACAGTGGGTGCTGACATTTTACAAGATCAGAATAACTTCTGGGTAAAGCTGTACATATTTTATTTTGAACAGCTGCTTACTTTGATACCCAATTGCTTGAAATTCCATGCGCAGCAAAAACAGTAAACTGGAGCTGTTCTGCTGTGGTCCATGCTTCCTTGATGCTCCTGTTCCTTTGGACACAGTCTGCAGGACTCCTACCAGAATTTCCATGGAGTCTGAGAAGATCATAAATCGCTGCAGTTAACTGGTCCATGCTTACTTGAACAAGATTTTCAGGATTCACTGAGCCTAGATATAAAGAAACAGTTAACGTGATTCTCTGAAAAAGCAGCAATCAGGGCTCAAATTTAAAGAACTGAAGACATACATACCCCTAGTCACACTCCTGGGAGCGTCCCCCTCTCCGGACAGTGAAGTCACCTGCATACACATACAAATTCGTCAAAAAATGGCCCATGACATAACATAAATGTTAAGCTTTCATTTCAAAACTCTCCCAAGGGAAACGTCCCCAAAAGTATCTGCAGAACTGATAAAACAATAAAAAAGTAACCCCCCCACCAAGTAAACAGATGATTTTTAGTAAAGAAAACCAAAATACTATAATTTTATTAACCAATGTCACTTTCCGAAATTTCAACTATTGCAATAATTTTCAAAAGAAAATCATGAAGTAAATGAAAATTATTGCAAAATACACTATCTCAACAAAACCTGCTTCATTAAACTAAATTAAGATTTGATATACAAAGTGATAAACATGCTAATACAGCATTTTATTTTCCATTAGTTGCTCTACTATTTAGCATGGCAAGAATGGCCTTAAAGAAACTAGAACTCCTTTACCATTTAGTGTCTCAAAACAGCTCTGAGCTCTCCTCCTACTCTCTATTTTACCCAGCAAATCAACATAATGAATAAAACCTCAAACATTAGGACCATGGTAGTTGATCACTTCCAAATGATTTCATATGCATTTCTGAATTTTTTAAACCAAGCACACAGTAAGGAAAAAAAAAGAGAGACCCAAACTTGTATATACCATGTGGACAGGTTTTCTAAGAATAAATGAATTGACCTTTCACCTAGATATTTGTTGAGGGGCACACCATCAACATCACTAAATTTATTGTGTCCTGCAATCCACTTTCTCTCATCCTTCCAGCAAGAGCCATGAACATCCCTGTGAACAGAATCGATTAAATACCCATGGAAAAACCATGGGGAGAACTTTCACTAAAAGCAATAGTATGCTATCAAAAGAGGGCTCCTGCCCTGGTGTCCACTGAGATAGTCAGTCAGTCACTGTTACTGAGGCATTTGGGTCTTCTCAACGAGGAGGAGATATGGTCCAAAAGAAAACCCCCCATATTGGCAGTCGTGGACACTTCCATCCAGAGGGAGTAACAGTACCTACTACCACCCAGGTCCTTCAAGCCAACCAACTCATTTATGCCCGAGTTGCCGCTCTATACACAACAGGTTCACCACTGGGCATCCACCTGTTCAACATCAACTCTCAGAAAGCTCTTCCAACCTCCTCTTAGGAATTCCCCACCTTACCAGGTAAGTCACCCAATCAACTCAAGAGTAAAAGCCAAAGTTAAAGTAACATTCTGCCCACAAGCAAAAATCTATCGGTTTAAGTGACAGATGCTCACTTCAATACGTAGCTGCATGTATTAAAATGCTAATTACTCAAAAATACTCACATCAGCACTTTTACTCCTTGGAAGATTAACTGCTCTCTTTAGCTTCTTGACTGATTCTGTAATGGCAGGAGTCTCCACACCATCTAAAGCACTACAGATTTTCCTTACAGCTTTAATAACTTGATCTACTGCTCGGTGCTGGTTCTTTAAAAACAAAAAGTAAAATAAACATAAGCATTTAGAATTTAAAAGATTGATTTCAGGAACAAAGTCAGAAACTAGACATTTCAGATGTGCCTAAAAACAGATGTACTTTACTCTTTCGTGATAAAAAAGAAAACAAACAAGACTGCATTTCAGCCCTGGCTGGTGTAGCTCAGTGCACTGAGCATCGGCTGGAATAGCTGGTTCGATTCCCAGTCAGGGCACATGCCTGAGTTGCAGGCCAGGTCCCCAGTGGGAGCCATGTGAGAGGCAACCACACACTGATGTTTCTCTTCCTCTTTCTCCTTTCCTTCCCCTCTCTCGAAAAAATAAATAAATAAAATCTTATTTAAAGAAACATTCTTATATAATGCATTAATCCATCAAATATTTATGCCAAACTTACATGCCAAGTACTGTTAGAATGAGTTGAAACTCAGTACTGTACCATTCTTTAAAAATTTAAAATTTTCCGTGAGGCTTAGCTACCATAAACTGAACATTCCCTTCATCTTCATGCTTGAAACCACCTATTTTTCTCAAATACCCAATTACCCTGCTGTCCTCCAAGCCTGAAGGTTTATTATCTAGCTCCCCATTTTTGCTTCCTTGTATCTCTGCTTACTTTTACTCCTCCACCTTCTTGCAAAACCTTTCCAGTTTTAAGGCTCATGCCATTTTTCCTGTACTATTCTCCATCATTTTTATGTGCCAATTATCAAATTACTATGTTTCAGTTTCAAATCTACCCTTCTTTGCTCTACTTTGTGTTACTGGAGCTACCAGACATTTCTCCTTTGCCAGCAGGCAAAGTGCTAGGATCTGTCATTAGAGGGCACCAAAGGGACACTCAACAGCAATGGTAGTATGAAGGTAACTCATCAGAGTTCCAGTCCTCTATTTTTTAATTCAGGGTAAGAGCCCAGTGATCGTCAAAGATCAGCATGTTCAGGCCATGCTCTCCCTATCTGACAGCTCTGGCAAGTTTCTTTGGCACAGGCAACCTGTGTGTCCCTGTGACAGCCATAAATTTCAGCATGTTGGGAGAGAGTGTTCCTTCACTATCCACTGTTCCTCAGCCTGGAGCTGACAGCTGCTTTGTTGCACCTGTCACTCTGGGACCCCTTTGAGCGGGGTTGGTAAACTTTTTTTTAAGGCCGGATAGTAAATGTTTCAGACTCTGTGGGCCACACAGTCTGTCACAAGTCAACCCTGCTATTAAGGATGAAAACTGACATGGATAATTCATAAATGAATGAGCATAGTTATCTTCCAAAAAAAACTTTATTTTTTTTTAAATTTTATTTATTTATCTTTAGAGGGGAAGGGAAGGGAAGGAGAGAGGGAGAGAAACATCAATGTATGGTTGGCTTTCATGCGTTCCCCTCCTGGGTACTGGCCTGCAGGGAACCGGCCTGTAACCCCGGTATGTGCCCTGACTGGGAATCAAACCTCGATTGTCTGGTTCGCAGGCCTGCGCTCAATCCACTGAGCTATACCAGCCAGGGCCAAAAAAAACTTTATTTACAAAAACACACAACAGGCTCGATTTGACATGTCAATAATATGCAAACTTCTGCGTCAGAGTCCTCTTTAACCCCTTGTAGTAATTAACTACCTTTTACTAATGAATGACTCTTCAACTGTCCCTGTTCAAAGAACTAGTACTATAGTTTCTGTCTCCTGAGCTGGCCCCTAATTAAGGGATCTGCCTTGCCACTGACACATGGTAACCTCTCCCACGGCATGCCACATTTTTGCTCCGGTTATTTACCCAACTTTCTACCCTGCATGCTATGACAACCCTCAGTTACATAAATGTGTATGTGGAAAACACGATCTTCAATCCCCAAACTGTACCCTACCAAAATCTTATCTACAAATCAGACTCTGATCACGATCTCCTTTGCTTGTAGCCCTCACACCCTCAGTCTAACAAAACCTGCCCTTTGAGCTCAGAAACTTGTCTGCTGCTTCTACAGACAGCTGGATACTTCTAACAAATCTCACAAACATACAGGTTCAATAGTCCTCGATTTTAGCAGGAACCTACCTGCCACTTAAAATTCCTTTTACCTGCTCTTGGTCAGCTCTCTTTCCCATTCCCCTTAGAATATGAAGCCAAACCAATATTCCTTGCCTCAAAACCCCTAGTACAATCCTACTTCATTTTATTGAAATACTTACCATCTTATCTCTAGAAAGCAAAGATGAAGAGGAATTAAAACTTCTGCAACTTTCTGACCTCCCTCCACTCCTACAACCTACCTCATGAGAAATTAAAACATATATTCACACAAAGACTTATATATGAATAATTACAGCAACACCAAATATAAGCAAAAACAATCTAAATGTCATTATTTGTTGACTGGATAAACAAAAAGTGGTATATCCACTTCATATCCACAAAGTATTCCACAATAAAAAAGGAACAAACTATTGACTGCATCCTACAACTTATCAACTACAACATGGACAGCATTTAAAAAGAGTCCAGTATGAGAAAGAAATCAGATATAAAAGATTACATAGGGTATGTTTCCATTTACATGAAATCTCAAAGGAAAACCTATCAAGACAGGAACCAGAACAGTAGTTTTCTGAGGCTGGGGGCAGGGAATGGCTGCAAAGCAGAACACGGAGTGATAAAAATGTTCTAAAACTGGATTGTGGTAACAATTATACAACTCTGTACATTTACTAAAAGAATCACTGAATTGTACACATCCAATGGGTAAATTTTATGGCATATAAATTATATCTCAATAAAGCTATAAAATATGAGGATTAAATATGATATTCACTATTTTAATAAGATGGTCCGTAAAGAGCTCTCAGATAAAGACCTACGAGCACAGACCTTGAAGAACTGAAAGATAAGCCACGCAAGCATCTAGGGCAAGAGCACTAAAAGAGGGAAAAAGGCACAGGGTCGATGGTCCCCGCTGGGGAACATGCCTACTGACTGCCTAAGACAGGGGAGGACGGGGGTAGGGGCCAGATCAGAGAGCTGGTGGGTCAGAATGTGTAGGGGGCTTGAAGCTACTAAGGTAGCAAACATTTTTGTGAACAAAAGAGTGACATAACTTACCATTTTAAAAGGTTTAAGATGGAGAGATAAAGAAACAGGAATTTGTTGGAGCAGAGGTCAGATTAAGGAACTTGGCGGTATTCACAAAAATGAAAGAGAGAGTGTTTAACATGAAGAGGGTGTAGTACTCAGGACTCAATATTTTGACATTGAAAATCTGTTTGGGTTCCAATGACCCTGTCCAGTCAATATATAGATTTAAATAAATAAATAAATAAATAAATAAATAAATTAATTAATTAATTAATTAATTTAAAGGAAAAACAAGGGCAGAAGCTGAGAGACCAGTAAGGAACTACTGCAACTATTATAACTAACAAGGACTATAGCCTTGGTAACAAAAAGTGGTCACATTCTTAGTATTTTCAGGTTAAAGCAGGCAGGAATTAGAATGACTGTGGGATATGAAAGATCCTTTTCTTGAGAAACCAAATATGATGCTAAGGTTTTGGCTTGAGCAAATGGAAGGTCAGAGTTGCCATTTATTCAGAAAGGGAACTGTGATAAATAAATATGAAGGGTAGTATAAAAAAAATCAGTTTTCTGCCCTGGCTGGTGCAGCTCAGTGGATTGAGCATGGGCCTGTGAACCAATGGGTCACTGGTTTGATTCCCAGTCATGGCACATGCCTGGGTTGCAAGCCAGGTCCCCAGCTGGGGGTGCCCGAGAGGCAACCACACATAAATGTTTCTCTCTTCCTCTTTCTCCCTCCCTTCCCCTCTGTCTAAAAATAAATAAATAAAATCTTTTTTTAAAGGACTAAGTTACTCTTTTAAAAAATTAATTAATTTTCAAAAATCCGTTTTCTAAATGTAAATTTGAGCTGTCAGGTAGTAAGATACCTGAATGTGGAGGTGAGGGAAGAGATTAAGTCTGGAGATACAAATTGGAACTGTGAGTACATGCAGGGTATTTACAGACATGAGATTAAGCGAGATCACCTAGGCTGTGCAATGGAGAGAGGAGAAGAGGTCCTAGCCCTGAGGCATTCTAATGTTAGGAAGTCGGGAAGATAAGGAGGTCGGAGGAGGAAGCTACAGGAGAGAGTGAGGACAGAAGAGACACCGGACGTAGGAGAACCAAGAAAGTGGTAGCCCAGAGGCCATGTGAATGTTTTAAGGAGGAAACAATCAACTCTATCAAACATTATAGAAAAACTGAGAAAAATAATGACTAAGAACTTACTACTGGAAACATCATGGAAGTCCTTCATGCCCTTCCTAAGTGCAGTTTTAGGGAAGTGCTGAGACTGAAATCTCAACTGGACAGGGTTCATAAGAGAATCAGAAGAGGAAGTGGGAGCAGCAAAAACATTAACTTTCAAGAGTTCTGCCGCAAGAGGAATAAAGAAGTAGAGTGGCTGCTGCGGGAAAATGCAGGCCTTTCCTGCTCAACATGGGAGCTATATCCAGGGCTCAGTCCTTGAGCTCTTTTCCTCTACCTGCAATGGTGATCTCATCCAGTCTTATGGCTGAAAAATACCATTCATATTTTAATGATTCCCAAGTTTATCATCATCTCCAGCTTGGACCTCCTCCATTAAATTCCAGATTCATATCCAATTGTTTATTCAACATCACTATTTGGATGAGTAATGGTCATACCAAACATAATGTCCAACACGAAGTAACAGATCTTCCCCCAAAACCTGCGCTTCTTATAATTTTTCCGTATCTCACTAAAAGGCAACTCCAAAGTTCCAAATGCTGTTAGAAAATCTTGGAGTTACACTTAACTCCTCTCTCTGTCTCTTTCTCATGCTCCACCATTAAATTTATCAGTAGTAAATCATCCAAGCATGAACTTGAAAATATTCACAGCATTCAACCCCTTCTCATCACTTACACTGTAACCGTCCTAGTCCAAGCCATCATCATCATTTCTCCTGTGGCAAAACATCTGAATTCGTTTGTTTCTACTCTTGCCCCCTCCTTCATTCTATTCCAGCTACAAAGACCTAGTGGACCTTAAATATACCCAGCACACTCCTCCCCCAGATAACCAGTAATGTCTTCCTCTCCTTCTGTTCCTGAATCAAATTAATCTTCTCAATGAGGCCTTCTCTGACTACCTTATTTGAAACTGTGACATTACTCTCCTCTTTCATTTTTCTCTACAGACTTTCCACATGATACCACATATATTTTCCTACTATATTTTATTGTCTGTCTCCTCCAACTAAAGTTCAAAGTAAGGGCAGGAATTACAGTTTCTTTTGTTCACTCTTGTATCCTCAGCACTTACAACAGTGGCTCACAATGAGGAGATACTCAGCAAACATTTACTGAATAAAGGAAGAAGTATATGTATGTGCTGGTAAGAACATACTCATAGCTAGAAATACATAAGTTATCTTACACTATTTCTTCTTCTCTTACCTCATTATCCATCAAAACCTTACCAATTTCATCTCCTGAGTATCGTTAATTGGTTCTCTCCTTTTTAACCTTCACCAGAGTCATTATCTTTTACTTGGACTACTATTCAAAAAAACCTTCCTGCCCTGGCTGGTGTGGCCCAGAGGACTGAAAGCAGGCCTGCAAACCAAAGGGTTGCTGGTTCAATTCCTACTTAGGGCCTCAGCTGCAGGCCAGGTTCCCAGAGAGGGCCACATGAGAGGCAACCACACATTGATGTTTCTCTCCCTTTCTTTTTCCTTCCCTTCCCTTCTAAAAATTAATAAATAAAAATCGGGAAGAAAAAGAAAAACGTGCACAAACATATTAAAAAACAAAACAAAAAACCCTTCCTAAATAGTCTTCCTAAAACCAATCTTGCCAACCCTAACCCTGTAACCCCAGGGTACAGCCAAAGTGACTTCAGAGTTCAGGGTCACCCACGTCACCCACCCCACCCCAGCCCACTCCACTTCCCACCCTCAGCTAAAAACATGGCTAGCGCAGGCGATCAGCAAACTTTTTCTGTAAAATGGCAAAGAGTAAATAGTTTAGGATATATGGTCTCTGTCTTAACTACTCAAATGCAAGCACAGAAAATTATATAAACAAATGGGTATGGCTGTGTTTAAAAAAGGACAGAAGAAGAACAGAAAGCAGACTGGGAAGTGCCCTCATACGAGTCAGGACAGCTCTGGCCTTCCCTCTGCTCGGCCACAGGACACAACAAGAAGTCAAGATGTTCAGTCTGCAACTAGAAAGAGGGCGCTCACTGGAAGCTGACCGTGCTTGTACTCTGATCTCAGACTTTCCGTCTCCAGAACTGAACTCTATTTTAACGACCTTTCAAAAAGAAAAAAACAAGTCACGGAGAAGAATGGGAATAACTGAAAGCTTCAAGTTTGTGTTGCTACTTGCAACTGTGCTGATTATTCTAAACTCACACCAATCACGTCTGGCATTAAAAAAGAACCTGAGTTCTTTGACTCTGACATGGTGGTCCTTGGCTCTCACCTGATACAACTGTGGGTAAGACGAAAACAATTTATGATATTCTTCACTGCAACATGCTGTACTGGAGGGAGAATGGGTCTAGGAACTATGCAGACCTATCTTCTACTTAGTTGTCATGTGGCCTTTGAGAACTTGCTTAGCATCTCTGGGCCTCAGATTCCTCAATTATAAAATGCAGTGGAAACCTATGCTGTAGGCCATGGTGAAGAATGGAGATGGTGATGTAGAGGACTGATCACAGTGATGTTGCTTAATAGATGGTTGATAAATGATAACTATTATTATTATTTTTTATTACATTCCAGAGAAATGGCACTTATGTACTGTATGATATAATAATATGGTTCCATATAATGTTTTGTGAGCTCCAATGGTAATTCTACATTAAAACTGATATACAGATCAACAGCATAGAAAGTAGTAAGTATGGGACAAGATTTTTAAAATCTAATCGATTTACAAGGTGACGTGGAATGTTATACTACCATTACCATTGATATTTATTTATTCGGATGAGATTAGATTTGTAATTAATCAGAGCTAAAATAAAAAATGTGAAAGTTGGGAAATCTTTGAGGGAGAAGAATTTATAAATCAAATATGAATATTCATTTATGTAACAAAGTTGCATTTAGTGCACCTCTGTGGCATGAAAATGTTAATGCAACCTACAAACAAAGGCGAAAATACAATATTAAATATGCAAAAAAACCCCAAAAAAGTGGACTGGAGGTGCATTCTCCCTCCCAGGAGCACGCATGTCTTTCTCCTCCTCCTACATCCTGCACCCCCACCCTGAAGTATTGCCTTTAACTTTCTCTCCTAAGCTCCAAGGGCCCTTCTTTTGCTTCTGTAACTTTCCCAATAAACTTCCTCTTATAGTTTGAAAAAAATGGAGGAGGGGGCACTGATCTAGAGAATAAAGTAAAACTCTTCAACATGAATTATTAGGTGATAACTTAGGTCTGTCCTCACTTCACACTTTGTACTCTATCATATAAGTGCATATATGTCCACCACATGTAATACAGCTGTGTGTTTTTCTTCCCATGTCCTTCCCAACTACCTTCTTCTGGCTGCTGTTTAATACTGTTAAAGATGTCGCTCAGGCAACATCCCTACTTAGATGCCTTTCTTAAACCCTTAAGTGGAGAGAAGTGTCCTTTGATCTCCCAAAGAACCTCAATGCATACCTCTACTTTACATTTAACTCTGAAATTTTGTTTAAATCCCCCATCACTAATTTTATTTTATTTTATTATTATTTTTTTAAAGATTTTATTTATTTATCTTTAGAGGGGAAGGGAAGGAGAGAGGGAGAGAAACATCAATGTAGGGTTGCCTTTTGTGCATCCCCTGCTGGGAACTGGCCTGCAGGGAATCGGCCTGCAACCCAGGCATGTGCCCTGACTGGGAATCAAACCGCGATTATCTGGTTCGCAGGCCTGCGCTCAATCCACTGAGCTACACCAGCCAGGGCAAATCCCCCATCACTAATTTTAAATTCTTGGTAGATGAGTACTAGCTCATTTACTTTCATAACTCCAATAAGTAGCATACAGTAAGCATTCAATAAATGCTTTTTAAAATTGAAGTGAAGGTTCTTAGTAGTAAAGCTGAAGTGAGAAAAGACACACTGACTAAGCATTACCAACAACTTCCATTAATAAGCTGGGTCAGAAAACAAGTCATCAAACATCAACATCAAGAATATAGTTTAGTTCTGACTGGTGTGGCTCAGTGGGTTGGGCACCATCCTGCAAACTAAAGGGCTGCTGGCTCGATTCCTGGTCAGGGCACATGCCAGAGTTGCAGGCCAGGTCCTCAGCTGGGGGTGTGACAGGCAACAGATGGCCGTTTCCCTCCCTCTTCTTCTCCCTCCCTCCCCCTCTCTCTAAAAATAAATGCATAACATCTTTTAAAAAAAGAATATAGTTTAAATAGTCCATCAATGTTTTACCCAATGTCAACACTACTTTTTAAAATAGGACAGAGACCAGAATCTTTAAGTCATCGTGTCAAAATGGGACTTAAGACTTACTTCAACTTGAAGAGCCAGCTCCACTTGGTGGTGATAAGAATCTAAGAGTTCTCCAATAGGGTGTCTGAAACAAAGAACAGCTATTGTGGCTGAAGGACACTATATACGAAAAATGTATTCACATCCAAAAGTATGAAAAGCCGCAATTAATGCTTTAGATGCCACACCTTGTCATGACTTCTTTATAAGGTTTTTCTATTTGATGCAGGTGTTTGTTTAAATCCACTGGTGTTTCATCATCTTCCGCCTAAACAAACATATATACACAAATGTTTACCAAAAAAATCAAATCTATTCTTTGGTCTTTCTGTTGCCAAATTAAATATGGTTAAGCGTATGATAAATTCTTAAAGCTAAAGTGATTTTTCAGAACAAAGGAAAATATCAGAATTATAAATGTTATTTATAACTGACTGTAAAAAATAGTCTGAAAACTTTTGTTTAAGTGGAAAAACATAATACTGTTGAGTCTAGTTTCTAATATTTAAACAGCACCCAACGCCAAAACTACTTCTGTTCTATATACAGAGACTGGGAAACTAAAAATACTTTTAAAGCCGGCTGACAGCCAAATTAAGGTGGGGTGGGAACCAGATGGGGAAGAAATCATTCAAATTTCCGCATTTTCTTTCTTACGATAATCAAGTTTCTCTTTATCTGTAACACCAATACAGGAAGGAGGCACTAGTCTCTCCCACCATAAGTCCTTACTACATAAATATACTCAGGAACATCATTCCTTAAGAAATGAAAAGAGAAGTTACAAATAATTGCTAAAATGTACTGAATTTTGTGAAATAGTTTCCACTACCTAACATAGCAGCAAAACCTAAGAAAATAGAGAGTAGAAATGACTGATATTTTCCCACCCAAAATTCTACCATGTGAAGAATAATTTTCTTTAGAGAGTAAAATTCAAGTGCATATACAGTAATAAAATGGCCTCATTTCCTGCATGCTATTTTGTTTTAAACTCCAAAAAAATGACTGTATTTTTAAAACACAGAATAAGTTTTCATTTGGTGAGAAGTGATGTATTTTTCTCAATTTGGTGCAAAGGTCAGTACAGATCTTCCCCCCCTCCCCAGAAAACTATATTAGTATTCAAAATCTTTCCTTCTTTCTCATTTCTCCTTGATTAGAAACTGACAGTTTCATTCTTGTGTAAAACTACGACAAATCAAATTTTTCATTCCTCCACTTTGATTTTCAAATAGGCCTCTTGCTCTGAGTAGTATGCTACCTAACTTCCTTTGATTAAAAATCTCCCGGCATCTGCTAAAAAGACTCCTTTTGAGATCAAGAGTTCATCGCTTCCAGTCCAACCCAGAAATCTTGCAGAACATACAAACTGCCAATCAGCTCCTTAGCAAAATTATTCAGATTTAAACAAAAGCAATTCAATTACAAGGCAAACACTTACTGTTCGGGCTAGATTTTGACACATTGCACTTAATGGCAAAAGTTGTAGTTTAATCTCTGTGTCCCATTTTCGGCAGTTCTGAATATGTTCATGACTTCCAAGGCAATGATTACTGTTAAAATATAGTAATTGTTCATCAATGTTTTGTTTTCTTAAAAATAGAAATTATAGAGGTGAGAGCAAAATATAAATTGCATCTGCATCAGAAATGGAAGAGAATGGTAAAAACACCGAGATGGTTTTTTTAACCAAATATAAGCATTTGAGTAGAGGATTAATTCCACATGAGACGAGTCAAAACATAGAAGAAAGAAGATGAAGAAAATTTAAAAAATAGGGACAGGACATTTTTAGTGGCCTAAGAAAATGGAATCTGTAACAAGACTAAATGCCAGATGCAATAAATTTGGGTTCAGAAAAAGTCATATAAAACAATTATGTCAGGTATATAAAAGGAAATCAGAACTGACCCCTTTGTATAAAATAATAGCACATGCTATGAAAGGAAAATAAAGGCTGTGATGATGTCACTATTGACCCTTTGCAGAAAGAAAAAAAAAAAAAACCTTTACATTCACTAATCAACCAATTGCCCACCATTCTTCCCATGTGAGACTATAAGCTTTTTGAGGGAAATATTAATACCACATCCTAATTATCTCTGAAATCCCTCCACTATCTGAGACGTGACTTCTTAGACAAAGTTATGTCCCAACACAATTTTATTGATACAATGAATCAATTCAGTAGGACCCAGTGTATTTTTGGATTACAAACTGAACTTAATATTTTTCTAATTTAAGCCGTTTTAAAAATGAAATTTTCAAAGATGTTGCTCAGTAGTTAAATGAATAAACTTACTTCTGTAGCACTTCCTCTTGACCACAAACTTTCAAAACATAGCTGCCAACATCTACTTCATTCAAGTCATCATGTACCCAGCAAAGGGCTTGCATTATAATGATTTCTACAGTAGAACTCACTGTAAAAGAGTCAGTCATCATTTGCATTTTGCTCACGTAACTCTAAGTATACATTTACTCAGATTATATTTCTTATATCTAAGATAGCACTATACAATAAACATATAATGCAGGTCACATGTACAAGTTAGAAATTTCTAGTAGCCACACTAAAAAAAGTAAAAAGAAACAGGCAAAACTAATTTTAATGTTTTACTTAACCTATTAAATCTAAAATATCATTTCAACATATAATCAGGATTTTAAAATTACTGATATCTTATATTCTCTTCAAACTAAGTGCTTGAAATCCAGTGTGTATTTTATATTTATACCACAACTCAATCTACATTCGTCCCCTTTCAGGTGGTTACTGTATCAGGGTAGATCTAAGCTAAGAAAGCCATCTCCCTATTGCAGACGCTTCCAAAAAGGATGACATTTAGCAGTTTCTAGCAAACAATGACCTAAACTACTTCAGAAGGAAAAAGAATCACCATTTTAAATGTCTGACATTTGCCTGGTGTATTTTCTGATAAAGAATACAAATCTAGCAAGTAAGAAGTATCATTCTTGGCAATAGCTGGGTACTAAGATTACAAGAAATTAAAAACTAAGGAAACCTTTAAAGTACACTATTTCTATACTTCAAGATCCTAAGTTCAATTTAGAAAGCAATGATTACATTCAAACTTCATGAAAATTAACAGCTTGGCAGTAAAGCCCATAAAACCTCTATCTAATACAATGGCTACATTTCTAAATAGTCAAGTGAATGGCGACATTTATCATTTGAACATATAAAAACCATTTGTACCAAAATATGGTTACATTTCTTAACAGAGATGTTCAGTATAATTGTACACATTTATGAAGAACTAAACAATAGGTATTTGAAATATTTTTAAGCAATTAGATCTTTAGAGCAAGTAAATATTTGACACAAATTAAAATATTTGTTATCAATGTATAAGCATTGATACTCATGCTTATTTCAATCAAGAGGTCTATTGGCTTTTTTCCTTCAATTTTAGTATTAATTCTTATAGCATACTTAGATTGAAATGATACCTCAAACCAAAATGTGTGAGGTTATTTTTTAAAACAATCCTTCTTTGAGAAACTAAAAGAATAACTCTTTATAATTTGTTTCCAGTTATATTTTTTCAAAGGGCCTTGAAAAGTTCAAAGCTACAAAGAAAGTATCCGAATACTGAGCATATTCCTAGTTATAACCATTCAAGAAAAAATAATGGCAAAATTTTTAGGCCAAAGTACTGTAGAAATATAGGATCTTATTTTACTGTTAGAAACCCATTAAAATAATACAAACTGTGAAAAGCAATAAACTATGAAAGAAAAGAGCATTTAAAAAAATTATAACAAAGAATTCCTACAGACTTGGGGATATATCTCTAGAAAGGATACCCACATCAAGTTCCAAAGGAAGACTTAGAACCAAAGGAGAGCCCTGGCTGGTGTGGCTCAGTGGATTGAGTGCCAGCCTGTGAACCAAAGGGTCATCAGTTCGATTCCCAGTCAGGGCACATGGCTGGGTTGCGGCCAGGTCCCCAGTCAGGGGCTGTGCAAGGCAACCACACATTGATATTTCTCTCCCTCTTTTTCTCCCTCCCTTCCCCTCTCTAAAAAATAAACAAATAAAATCTTTTTAAAAAAAAAAAACCAAAAGAGAAATATCTTCTCCTTAGAAGAGCAATTTTCACCCACTGTGCCACAAGAATTTTTAAACCATGCAACACCTAACTCTTTAGTCGGGAGTACCTACCTCTATTCCCTTAGATTATCAAGTTTAAAAAAAGACAACAGCCAACATAACAACAGCCATCAGTGTGAATGAATCAAAATTATATCTATTTTTCTGTCAGACTGGAGAAATATATATATTTTTGGTATGCAGCAGAATTTTAGTCATTAGTTTATGTGTGCCATGAGATGAAAAAGGTTGAAAATCTCTGCCTTAGAGGAGTTTAGAAAGATAACTAGAATTTCAATTTTACTGACAGCTTTTTATAAACAAACATTCTTCTTGCCATTAAACAAACAAACAAAAAAGAAAATAAAGAACTGGGCTTTCCGTTTAATTAGCTATCTTTTTACTAGACTTTTTACATAATGCTTTGGGGCCTTGGCCAAGAGCCACTGATTAACCAAAATTACTCAGCCTTCTTCAGAGAAGTATGTACAGCAGTGAAAGATAAAATCCTTTCCCACTTGCCCTACCCAGGCAAGTATCCAAACGAGATGCCAAGTTTTAGAAGAGGGTAACTAATGAATGTTAAGTGTTTAGCCACACTCACACACACACACACACACACATTTTTCAAAAGGATACTAATAACAGAGTCAGTTTATAAAGACAATAATAATTATTAACATTTTAAACATTTTCTCTCTTACCAGAGCAAAACAGGACAGTTGGGAAACTACAAACCTACCATCACATGTAAAAGTAACTGGGAGTTGAAATCCTTCTATTTCAATGGAGACCTTCACGCTAGCATTTTCTCCACATATGTTTCTTTGCACTGTGACTGGACTTAACAAATAGCCTGGATTTGTGTGGTGATTGGTATATGGAAAGTTGGTCTTCAATCTGTTCGCAAGAAAGAAGAAATTCTTTTTTTAAATGCTGCATTTATTTGCGCCTCGAAATAGACTTTGCATGTGTATAGCCATTTAATTCAGTGCCTTTGTTCAATTCTAGAGAAGCTCATGAAAACTGCCATGGACCCCTGCCAATACTCCAAATATAAGCATTTGCCTTTTAAATATAAGGAATCCAGGGGAAGATACTAAGTACTGGCAGGACCTCTTTGGTAGCGTTGTCAAAGCTAAGGAAGCACACACCAGGCACACGGCTGTTTGCGTGAGCTGCCCTGCTTCAGATCCTTTTGCTACACAGTGTAATTACACAAAATGGTACGTTTTTAATGAATCAATGATAATATAGGTAACATAGCCCTAAACTCTAACTGTCAGAGGAATAAAATATTGTTGTCTTTTCAAAACCTTTTTTCTAAGCTTCTTTTTCCTACACATTGTTTCTGGTCATTAGACAATGCTTTAAAAAAAAAACAAGACGTAAGAAATGGTTTTTACCCAGTGCTATGAGGCCTTTATTCCCTCAACATGATTTCTGAAACTTAGGGCATGGTAATAACTGCCTGCCAAAGTACTCACAGTATTCACAGATATAGAGACAAGCATTATAGTTTAAATTTAAATACAAGAGCATGGTGCCTGGCTGGCTCATCTCCAGTCAGTACTTTGTTATCAGAGACAAAGGAGGATTTGATCCTTCTTAAACTTAGAAGCTCCTTTTAACTTTTTTCTGGAGGTTAGACCAGTTCCAATCCTCATGTCTGCTTTTCACAAGGCTATAAATGGAATGAATACTGAAAAGTACTGTTCACTTGCTTCTGTAGAGATTAAAATAATGAAGTCACAGGAATAGAATAAAACAGTCTGAGATGACAGAAAGAAAGATTCTAGAGAGAGAGCAATCCCCAAACTATACCAAACTACCTGAGTTTAAATCCTGACTTTACAACTTCCTTGCTGTGTGACCTTAGGCAAGTTATTGAAACTCCTTTTTTTCCTTGAGTTTCCTGCTCTATAAACTGAGGATTATACTACGACTAACCTCACAGGGTTGTTGTTGAGAATCACGTGAATTAAGTAATTAAAGCACAGAGGACAGGGCCTACCTCGTACATAGTAAGCCATGTAAGGATCTTGTCAAACAAATGAAACAGCGAATGAGTAAGTCTGGTTTCTGCACTATGATTGTAAGTGCCACAAAGGATCCGCCATTAAAGAGAAATGTAATTGAAAAAAGGGTAACATAAGTAATAACATCAAATTCACGCTGAAAATTCACCCTTCAACGAGGACATACTATCTTCAGATCTGCTGTCAGGACTATCCCTCTGGTGACATGACATCTTCCTAGGGCGCAGCCCAAGATTCTTATTGTTTAACACATACTTGATATTCTCTTGTTTTCTACAGCATGAAGGAAACATATAGCAAATCATGTAATTAACTAACATATGAAATGGTACAGAATTTTGTTTACAGCTCAGCAAGCTTTCCATTTTCAGAAATCTTTAAGGATGACAAAAGGAAAATCAAAAATCCTGATGATAGCTCAGAAAACAAAAATTTACTGGACAAAAATTTCAGTGATAAAAGTTGCATTCAATGAACTTGACTTTAGGGGGAAAAAAACCTTCATTTCTCTTTCCTAAAATAAGTCCCTTCTTTTACACAACAGTGTGAATGTACTTAATGTCACAGAACTGTATGTGTAAAAATGATTAAAATAGTAAATGCTACGTTATGTATATTTTATCATAATAAAGCCAGTTTATTTTTTAATGAGTCCTTTTTCTCTCTGCTTGAAACCATGAAAGATAGTTTAGTCCAGCCCTGGCTAGGTAGCTAAATTGGTCCATTAAGAGTGTCTCCCGAATACATCGAGGTTGAAGGTTTAATCCCCTGTCAGGACACATAGAAGAAGCAACCAGTGAATGCATAAACAAGAGGAACAACAATTGATGTTTCTTTCTTTCCCTCTCTCAAATCAATTGATAATTTTTTAAGTTTTAAAAGAAGATAGTTCAGAAAAATACAGTAATTATTTTTCTTTTTAAATTGTATTTGGTTAGGTTTCAGGGGTACAATTCTATAATACATTATCTGTATACTATACTGTGTGTTTACCACCCCGAGTCAACTTTCCTTCCATCACCATTTACCCCTACACACAGTAACTTTTTTGTTTTTCTATAAAATTTATAATTTCTTCTATTCTCATGGCTTTGTGCTTTACAAAAACTGTGGGGAAAATTAAGATTTCTTAGGAATCTTAGTAAAGATTCCTTAAGTTGGGCATTTTTGTTTTGTTTGTAAGTAAATACATGAAATCAAATTAAATGAGTAAATTGGTAATTGTCAAGTAAATTATGCACTTTCAATAGACCATATAAGATGTTTTTATTGATGCTTTAAGCCAACATAGCGTGATGTTCTTAAGCAATTACCTGTAAAGAGTATTTTTTAACTTAAATTTTCTTCTCTAAAATTTCCATTTTCCTATCACCACAAAAGACATAGCTTTGGTTGTTTGTTTAATGTGGCTCTATAGTTCAGGAAATTTAGTATTTCTATGTGTACAGAAAAATCTTTTACAGTTTATTTTCCTACTATGTGCTCGATCAAGCTAAAGTTATACATAGAGCCAAATCATGCAAAATCAGAAGGATTAAAGACATAAAAATGAGAGTTTTTAAATTAAAGATAAAAATGAGGGTTTTAATTGAATGCTATTTTACAGGAAAGTATGGATTCAGCATTGTGTAAAAGAAAATTAACTAAATGCAGAGGTGAAGTTCTTGGGGTCAAGACACTACTATAGGATATAAATATTAGATCTGAACCATATATGAAGAAAAGAAATACAAGGCTTTTCAGAATGAAAAAGTCTAAAGTGTAGTTTCTCATCTTATCCTAGGAAACCACACACACAAAAAGCAGCAAAAACTTCTACTGGTACCTAACACTCCTCTAAGAACTTTCTGTGAACGGACAGCTAGTAGAAACAGCAGGTTTTGTCAATTAACACTGAGTGCGAAAGGAAAGAAATGCAGCAACAATGAAAAGACCTGAATCAAAGCACTACGGGGGCCTGAAACAAAGCAACCTTTGAGATCAACAGCCCAACTCCCTAATGTCACAGAAGCTAAAAAAACCAGACCAAGAACTGGCACTAAAACCAGACCAAGAACTGGCACTAAATTCTAAGGCTGCTATACAGTAATGTTGACTGTAAGCAGTTATCATCCTGACAGTCTTACAATAATTTCATAGCTGAATGTAAATGGCTCTGTAAGAGTATAAAATACTTGTTTTTAAAATGCACTGCAGGTATTTGCATACTGAAAAAAACAGAGCCATTAATTTCTTCAAGGGACATTTCCTAATCACCAAGGTCACAGGGGAATGAGGGAAGTTCCTAAAGCATGATTCAAAAACACTTCTGAAATACCTGTTGCAATCATACTCTACTAATGAAAATAAAATTACAAAAAGAACTCATTCTTTCTTTAATTCATCTGGGGTTTCATATTACATAAGCCATTGTGTGTGTGTGTGTGTGTGTGTGTGTGTGTGTGTGTGTGTGAGAGAGAGAGAGAGAGAGAGAGAAAGGGAGAGAGAGAGTATAAAAATAATCTTTTTAGCTTATTGGCAGTCTTTGTTAGTAACTCAAAGATTCAAATAGAGACAAAGGGCAGATCACGGACAGCCTAATTTCTCAAATTAAATGCCATAGTCACTCAATAGTTTAACAGAAAACATACAGGGCTCTGGGAGAAAATTAAATGGAACTAGATGAACACATAACAGATTATTTCCAAACTATTAAAGTAAAAAATTATTTCCAAATTGTTAACCACACACACATAATGATATAATGCCATAGGTTATTTCTAATACATGCAATTTACATACTGAGTCATCTAAATGGCCTCTTCTATTTTAGTAACAAACTATAGAAATCATCCCTGAAAGCATGGTCTTTGTCTCTTCTATTTGAAATACTTACTAAAAAACATGAGTTCTAAAAATCCAATTAAGAGTAACTTTTGCTGGGAAGAAAAAGTGGCTCTACTGATATTTTTCTTCTTTTTTCCCCCTAGGGTATTCTGCAGAAAAATTCTGGTTAAAAAGGTAATGTAAAGAGTGACCGTTTTTAATGAAATATTATCAACAGTCTAGAAAATCTAGTTAAATATTATTAAGCCCCTAAACAATATTAAATTGCTGTACCTACTTACAAAGTATCTGAAAACCCTAAAGTCTGCTTTGCTTAAAGCAGATCACACTGGGAAAAAATTGGGGATTCTGAATAAACCTCGCTGTGGTGATCAACCTTCCCTTCTTTGGATAACATATCTCATCGTCTGAGCCACAATATTTTTTGTTCCACTTTTTCCTTCTATGAGGTTTTTTCTGTCTGGTGCTGGCCAAAAGGCCTCCCTTTTGTCTTTGCTAGCATAACCATTAGAATATGAAATCTAAGCTATCAGTGGCTACATTTCCTGCCATCGATACCCCATCTGCAGTAGAAGAAAATGAAGCCAGCATTCATGGAGGAAGAGCAGGGCCAGAAGTGGGCAAAGAGAGCCCAAAGGGAGGTGGAACCCTGACAGTGTAAGAATCCAGGATCTGTCTGTCGCTGACCTCTGTCCCATCCTTCCTCCTCCTGCTGTAGGGGTTTGTGAGCCAACACATAACCTCTCTTGATTAAACTAGTTTAAGGTGGGTTTCTAGTCCTCAAAATGGAAGTCCAGCTAGTAGAGCGATATAAGAGAAAGAAAACACACTGAATCGGGGGCAAAGGAAACCTGGCTGGCTATAGCTGAGTAAGCTTTGGAGGGCAACTTCTCTGAGTCCCAATTTCCTCAATTTAAAAATATTAGACACATTTAAGATTAAAAGATCATTTTAGTATTGCATTTTCCTAACCTTCAGAAAATATATTTGCTTTTCTAATTGTACTTGCTATCTCTTAAATAAGTACATTATTTTGAATGCTAGAAAAGAATATAGCACAACTAAGTGTCCCTAAAGTGTACTGAAACTTAAACGTTTAAGCCATATTTTCACTGGTTAACAGAAGTTAACTGGTTAAGCCATATAACTGGTTATCAGAACTCTGCTGCCTGACCTCAGTCCTTCTTCTAAGCACTCAGAAACCTAACAGGTTCATCTCCAGTTTGTTAATGTGCCAATTTAAGTTTTAAGCCACAGGGAGAAAAAAATTTAAAACTTTAAAAGTTTAGAATAATTAGCACTAAGCTAATTTTTGATAAATTTTTAAACAAGCATTTAATAAAAAATATTTAATTTATAAGCCCTGGCTGGTGTAGCTCAGTGGATTGAGCTCGGGCCTGCGAACCAAAGCATCCAGGTTCGATTCCCAGTCAGGGCACATGCCTGGGTTGCAGGCCAGTTCCCAGCAGGGGCCGCATGAGTTGCAACCATATATTCATATTTCTCTCCCTCTCTCCTTCCCTTCCCCTCTAAAGATAAATAAATAAAATCTTTAAAAAATATTTAATTTATAAAGAAAAAAATCCTTACTTTGTAATGGATTGACAAAAAGCTGCCACTTCTTCGTTTTGTACTTCAATTTCTTGTAGAAGAGAACTTCCGGGTGGCAAACTACTGGTCCCATTTGGGTCTTTCTGTAATCAAAAAAGTGTTTTTATTTTAAAAGTAAAAGATCCCCAAAATGCTAAATAGCACCATAGCATGAACACATTTTTTACAAAAATATGTACAAACATATGAATGTAAAATTAATTACAACAGTAACAACGTTTTAAATTATGGACTCTATCTGTAAAAGTAATGCCAACTAAGCCTCATTTTAAAGTTCACTGGTTCTCTTTGCTCAAAAGTAGAAATATCCTATTCTTCGTATAGGTCAGTCAGAACAGAATGCTAAACACATTTCCATTCAAAATCTTCCTGAAATGAACACCAAAGTAACAGCTGAATGAAATTCAAGGACTAGCCCTTTACTTTAAGAAAATGAAGAGATAAGTACAATTAGGAATCCTGTAATAAACCAGGAATTCTATATACAGGATCAGACAAAAGTAGATTTACAGCTGTGAGCATGTGAAACAGAATTTATTCTTGTATTATCATTTATTACTGTATTATTTTCCATACGAACAATTGTGAGCCTACTTTTGCCCCGCACTGGATTTAACTTAGGCTTCAAATTCCAACACAGCAGCTGGTTCTTTACATAATAGACTGAGTTCTAGGATTTAGTGAACATTCTCTATGTTAATAAAGGTATACAAACAACTGACAGTCCTTCATTAAGTTTATGATCAAAATTTGTGTTAAACATTTAGAAAATAAATTCACCATCCAAGCAAAACCAAATAGTATAGTCCATATTTAGAGGTACTGTGGTTACTACATAAAAGTACTTAATTTGGCACAAATTCAAGTGCAAGTTTCCATTAAAATTAGAATTGGAACACTCACAATTCAAAATTAAGTGAATCAGAACACAGTGTATAAATTTCAAGAGCTGTAATGGATTTCAATGAACATTCTGTCAGAAAATTAAACTAGAAACTTAGGGCAGTAATTCCTTTATGAATTATCTTCTTTTAAAACATGGCAGAGCTCTTTCCACTAGACTGTGATATGCACATTTGGGGAAGAAAACAAGTCTTGACATCCAGAAAACTGCAACTAAAAATAACAAAGCTTATGGAAAAAACAGGGTTAAGGCAGATTACTAGAAATCAGTGTAACTTTATCATCAAAACTCCAACTAACACAATAAAAACACCTTATAAAAATATTAGCGCAGTTAAGTCTGCACTTGACTCTGCACCTAGCATTATGGTCTTTGAACCTTCTTTAAAATCCTGGAGCTCCTGCTTCATCTGTGATACAGATTCCTGAGGACATCTGCTTCTAGTCTACCAATTTCAATGAAATTAAAAATATTATCTAAGATATAAAGTTCTTCAACAAAGTTCTTAATGCAAAGGAAATGTCTTCACATCTTCTTTGTACTAACTGCTTCACCAGAGAGCCTCACACTGTGCATTATGAAACCATTCTTGAAGCTACTCATCCAAATACCATTTTTACTAAGTAAGATGTCTGCAGGATTTTCAGTGTTTTCCTTAATATCTTCTTATATTATTAATAAAGTACTTTCTCTTTAACTGTGAGAAAGTTTGTTCTCAATTGCTTTAAAATGTTAATATGCAACCTGGCTAGTGTGCTGCCCTGCAGGCAAAAAGGTCACCAGTTCAATTCCTGGTCAGGGCACATGCCTGGGTTGAGGGCCAGCAAGAGGCAACCTAAGGATTTTTCTCTCCCTTTCTCCCTCCTTTCCTCGTTGTCTAAAAATAAGTAAATAAAATCTTTCTTTAAGAAATGTTAATATGCTGGTAAAGATTATGCATGAACTAATGCTATTTCCCCATTATATCAACATCAATCTCATATTTACCAATTACACCAGTTAATTTGTGTTATAGAAACAAGTACTAGAGCAAATAGACCATACTACTCTAAAATTGGGATTGGATGTTTCTAACAAATCCTTTGGTCTGACACTCAAAAGTTTGTCACAGTTGCATCCAATCCTATTTCCAAGAACTTTCCAGATGATTTCTACGTTCCAGTTAGCTTGAATCATATCCTGTTCCTAATAAAACACAAATGAGCTACCCTGCCCTCTGAAATGTTATCTTCAATGTCTTCCTCCTAAATTCCTCTCAATCTATCAATTTTTTAAGGCTCAATGGGATGCCATTTTATCTATAATGCCTTTTTATAATTATTCAATATGAATGAAGCAATTCTTCCCCCTAGCACTTCCAAGTACATACTTCTGAACAAACACCATTATCATTATATGCTTTTTAATATTTGTCCAAATGGGAGAGTTCCTTGAAGGTAAAAATCAAATTTTATTGAATTTTATATTCTTGTAGAACTGTAGATCCAGTTCAGGAGGCACTCAACCACTATTCAATTTGTTGAATGTTTTACTCCCTCTAAAAACAAGTTATAACTTACCACCTCACACCCATTAGGATGGCTACCATTAAAAACAACCAAAGAGCCCTGGCTAGTGTGGCTCAATGGATTGAGTGCCAGTCTGCAGACTGAAAGGTTGCCTATTCGATTCCCAGTTAGGGCACATGTCTGGGTTTCGGACCAGGTCCCCAGTGCGGGGCGTGCCAGAGGCAACCATGCATTGAAGTTTCTCTCCCTTTCTTTCTCCCTCCCTTCCCCTTTCTAAATAATAAATAAAATCTTAAGAAAAAAATTTTTAAAAATACAAGGACCATAAAACCCAGCAATTTCATTCATGGGTACATACTAAAAAAAAATTGAAAGCAGTTCTCAAAGAGCTGTTAGTACATCCATATACATAGCAGCATTATTTGCAATAGCTAAAACATGGGAGCAACTCAAGTGTCCATCAACAGATGAATGGATAAGCAAAATAAGATATATACACACAATGGAGTATTATTTAGCCTTAAAAAGGAAGAAAATTCTGCAATACGCTAGGACATGGATGGACCTTGAGGACGTTATGCTAAGTGAAATACGCCAGTCACAAAAAAAACAAATACTATGCGGTTCAACTTACGTGAGGTACTTAGAGTATCCAAAACCACAGACAAAATGTAGACAGGTGGCTGCCAGGAGTGTGGGGGAAGGGAGAACGGGGACTTGTGTGACGGGCAGAGTCTCAGTTTTACAGGATAACCAAGTTCTGGGGACCAAGGGTGGAGGCGGCTGCACAGCATCGTGAATGCATTTCCTACTACTGAACTCTGACCTTTAAAAAGGCTAAAATGGTACATTTTGTTAGCTATATTTTACCACAATTGAAAAACTAGAAATTATTGAGCATTTACTACATGTCAGGCTTTGCTGTTAGAAATTTACTGGGAGGTATGTACGTGTTACTTATTTCTAAAAAAGCCCTAATAGGTGGGTACTATTATTATTCCCATTTACAGACTAAAGAAATCTGAAAATTGCACTGAGGTTATTTAACTCATACATCACATAACTAATATATTCAAGTTAGGATTTCAACCCAGGTAGCCTAACTTCAGAAGTGACATGCTTAATCACCTTGCCATTAACCTCTCAACAGTCTCTTTACAAAAAACAACAGATACTTCTAGTCAAATGGCAGCATAGGCAGACATGGCTCACTTCTTCACATCAAAATTATAACTGAAACATAGAACCATCACTCAGGACCATCAGAAATCGAGCTGACTGGAAGTCTAACAACTACAGAATTAAAGAAACCACATCCATCCAAACTGAGCGGGCAAGCTGGTACTATATCTGACACTCCATCAACCTTGCTAACACTGTGTGACCCACCTTGGAGACCTCAGAAGACTTCAGGAGACTGCCCCACCTAACTTACAGGACCATCCAAGCTGCTTTCCCATATGAACAGCTGGTTTTGGTTCGTGCTTCACAACTTCCTAAATCCTATCAATGAAAAACTGGACCCGTGAGTCTGGGGCCTAAGCAGTAGCAGCAGCCACCCTAGATTTACAGCTTGGCTGCTACTTGTGCTGCGATGGGAATCTCCAAACCCAGCACAAGTAACAGCCATCTCAGATGGCTTTATAGCTCATGCACAGTGGCCCCGGGCAGAACGCAGGAGGAGGCTGACCTTGGCCTGCACCTCCAGGGAAATGCCAGGGCCAGCACACCCAATGGACAGGTACAGACCACACTGTAGCACTGCCCTCCTGCCCCGATATAGCTGATCCTTCACAGAGGGCAGAGGTTGGTAGTCAGTGGTCACAGCGAATATTTGCAGCTGACTGGTCTGGGTGAATCCCTCCCATTGATCTGCCAATAGCAATCAAGGCTCAACTACAAGAGGAGGGTGTACTGAGCTCACACAAAAGGTACATTCCAAGTACCCTGTCATTGGACCCTACAGGACTACTATATTAGGCCCACTAACAAGACATGGAGTCAAAGGAGCTCTACCTAATACATAGAAACAAAACACAGGCAGGCTGCCAAGTTGAGGAGACAAAGAAACATGGCCCAAATGAAAGAACAGAACAAAACTTGAGAAAGAGCTAAACAAAATGGAGAAAAGCAATCTATCAGTTGCAGAGTTCAAAGCACTGGTTATAAGGATACTCAATGAACTAAGTGAGGACCTCAACAGCATAAAAAAGATCCAATCAAAAACAAAGGATACACTAATTGAAATAAAAAACAATTTACAGGGAAACAACAGCAGAGTGGATAAAGCCAAGAATCAAATCAATGATATGGAACATAAAGAAGCTAAAAACAACCAATCATAACAGTAAGAAGAAAAAAGAATCCAAAAGTATAAGGATAGTATAAGCAGCCTCTGGGACAACTTCAAGAGGTTCAACATTCACATCATAAGAATGCCAAAAGGAGAAGAGAAAGAACAAGAAATTGGAAGTCTATTTGAAAAAAATAATGAAAGAAAACTTCCATAATTTGGTGAAGGAAATAGACATGCAAGTCCAGGAAGCACAGAGAGTCCCAAACAAGATGGATGCAAAGAGGCCCACTCCAAGACACATCATAAGTAAAATGTCAAAGTTTAAAGATAAAGAGAGAATCTTAAAAGCAACAAGAGAAAAGCAGCTAATTACCT